CGGCTTGCAAAGACAGGCTGGGGGAACCCGAAAGAGGCGCAGCCAGCAACAATTTTTCAGTCTCTCCTAGCTATTAAGCCAGTTAGCAATACAGTGCAGAATATTGACTTTTCTCAAGATCTGAAAGTGTCCCAAAAGTGACTCTGATCTTGGTCATCCCCTGAGAGCTTCCTCCCTGAGTCTCTTAGATGAAGATGAGGAAACTGACACAGTCAAGATGACTGTGATGACTGAGCGCAGGTGAAGGTTGGATGTCCTCTGCTCGCGTCAATGGTGGCTTCATCCTGAACAGGCGGGGCAGAGGAGGGAGAGCATCAAAGTGTTTCCTAACCCTAATCACTTCCCTGAGATTCAGATTGTGACATGAAAAGCTGCACTTTGGGTTCCACCTGGGAAAAAATGCCTGGCAGCTCTGTGGGTACAGGTCGAGTGGTATCATAGGCTGGGAGGTCTGGGGTTGAAGGTCCTAGGAAAGGTCCCTGTCCTGTCCCAGTGGGCTCCCTGCCTGCCAGCCTGGGAGAACAGGGCAGGCCAACCCTGACCAGGTAAGAGCCACACTTCAGTTCTCTTTGGGTCTTAGCAGATTCGTGCCACTGCGGCGTGGAGAGCTGTAGTGGGCACTGGGTGTGCCGGAGGCATAACAAGAAAACATGGTGCCTGGTTGTCAGGTTGCTGGCTGCACCTCTCTCGAGTTCCCCCAGCCTGTCTTTGCTTGCTGCTTCTCTCATCCTCTCGTCCCCTCCCCCTTCTAATCTGACAGCTGTTTTACCTCTGAATTTTCAGGTTCACTCAGAACTGGGGTGAAAGGCACACATCACTGTCCTTTGGGGCAGAAGAAAGAGGTGCAGCGATGCTTGGGTGTGCATTGCGTGGCTCAGGTGGGGCTCAGTCAGGACACCTGGCGCTGGCCCTACCCAGGACTGCCTTTCTCAAAGGGCCTGGAGCAGGACTGGCAGTGCTGAGGGGCTGAATCAAGTTCTTTGGAAGTGACCTGGATTCTCTCAGCAAGCAGTGAGCCTCTTCTTTAGGCCTTCTCACCCAGTGTGGACTTCTTTCTTTCATTTATCCATCTGGCATTTGTTGGATATCTTTTGTGCAGTGGGCACAAGGTAGGGACCGGGGACACAGTAAGGTCAGACACATGCTGCTCTCAAGAAGACTTCTGGAACGTGGGGACCCAGGCATCCAGTATGGACAAATCCATGGAATCAGTGCTGCATGGGGACTGGACAGGATGCTGAGGCGACTCCCTGAGGAGGGCACAAGAGAGCTGTGGTGGAAGATGAAGGAGGAGACAGAAACTGGGACAGGGCTGTGTCTCATCAGCTCAGGCCACTGGGTGCTACAGACTGGGTGGTTTGACCAGCAGAAAGTTCTTTCAGTTCTGAAGGCTGGAAGTCCAAGATCAGGGTGCCAGCATGGATGAGCACTGGTGAGGGCCCTTCCTGGCTTGCAGGCTGCCATCTTCCTCATCTGCCTTCCAAGGGGAGGAGGGGGTTGGCAGGAGAGAGCAGCTCATCTGGTGTGTCTTCCTGGACTAAGCCCATCACGGGGCCCATCCTTGTGACCCAGTTACCTTCCAAGGACCTGATCTTTAACACCATCACGTTGGGATCAGGGCTTCACCATGAATGGGGATATGTAGTCATCGAAGGGTGACTGTGTGTGGAGGGAAGCTGAGCCATTCAGGCTGAAGAAAGGGCAGCCTGGGCACTGCAAGTAGAAACGAATCAGCATTGCCAGGCCAGGTCCCAGAAGCAACTCAGTATGGCAGAAATGCAGGGGTGGCTGTCAGTGGTCAGGAGAGGAGAGATTGGAGGGATTCGTGTGCCACAGGAAGGAGCTGGAGTTTGATCCTAGGACTTATGCTTCCCAAGCTGACTGCCTCAGATTCCTGGGTCCTCCCCACCCTAGAGAATCTGGATTGAGCCTCTGTGGGGGACCGTGGGATCCACCCTCTGCCAGGTTGGGGTTGTCCACTCAGGCCTGGCAGTCCAGTCCCTCCACCCACTGGGATGAAGAGGGAGCAGTGACCGGTGCCAGCGTTTCCTGTCCTCTGCAAAGAAACTTTGATCCTGTGACTTTGACCCTGTCACAGCGGGGGGTCAGCCGCCTTTACCTTACGTGATGCTCAGCTCTGTGTCACTCAGTACAGGAGCGACAGATTGGATACATGTGTCCTTGTTCTGTGCAGGGGAGGCCTCTCAGGGGTTTCCCTTCCACCCCCTTCCACCTGGTTCTGAACATGTGATCTCAAGGGACATCTCTCACCTCTCCCTTCATCCCAAGTGAAAACCTGATTTCACGCCCCACTTGGGAGTTCACTCTGATGGGGAAGAGGGGTGGGGCTCATGCTTCACTCAGATCGGTCAGGGATGGGGGGTGCCAGGCGTCCCTAGTTGTTCAAATGGAGGAAGGGGCTACACCATCACTACTTCACGTACAAATCTCCTCCTAGATTTCTCTCCTCTCCAAAACATAGTAAAGAAACAGTCTGATCTATAAGGGGGAAAGTAGCACTCCAGCCCAGAACTGCTCCAGGCTGAAGGCAAAAGGTGGTCTAGACCACCTCCAGGGGCTCCACCTGCAGGCTGGAGCCCTCCATCAGGCTCATGCACCCCTGCACTGCAGCCTCACCAGCCTGGCCCCCTTGCCTTTCTGGGGCTCACAGCTCAGTGCAGTGAATGTGCTAATCCCTGTCTGCCCCTGTCCTGCCCCACCTGACGGGAATCCCTCAAGGTCAGGGCCTAGGGTGCTACAGTTAGTCCCTGCTCCCAGCCCACCACAGGAGTTCTACAGATATCTGCTGAACCAAACAGAACCCAGATGAACAAGATGCGACCTCTGACATGTGTGGTGATAATTTAACGGTATTTTCTGGATTTGATTTTTGGTGTCTTTAGAATAGGTGACACTTAATCCCCCTCCTCACGAAACCTCACATGTAATGAGTAAACTGAAGGTGACTGACTGCATCTCAAAGGTTGGCAGGCAGGTTTCCTTTAAAGAAATCTTTGCTGGATCTTTCAAAACTTGCCTTACAGGGAGCATAACCTCCAGGGGAGGGTGGGAGACAGTCATGGAGAAATTACCCTTTACAGTTTGGGTTCAGAGATGCTGCCGAGGAAAAGCAGCAAGGCAGAAAACCTTGGAGTCAGGCAGAATTGGGTCACACAACTATCCAAGCTGTGTGGCCTTGGGCAAGTCACTTAACCTCCCTTTACCCCAGATTTCCTTATCCCTGAAGTGGAACTCTACTGTTCCTGTTTTGCAGGATTGTTGTAAAGATTAAAAAGATCCTAGGTGATGTGTGTTAGCTCATAGGAGCCCCCAGCTACAGGAACAGCAGGCTGGTAGGTCCAATATTGCCCTTGGAGAACAGGAAGGGGCCTTTCATGGTTTTCAGGATTTTACCATGGACATCAAGAGTAAGGCCAACAGAAAGGGTGCAGAAAGGAAGGGTGACACCACTGTGGCAGCACACTATGAGTTTTTCACAAATTCTTTTTTTGGCAGTACTGGGGTTTGAACTCAGGGCCTCAGACCTGCTAGCGCAAGCACTTTACCACTTGAGCCACTCCACCAGCCCCTTTTTGCTTTAGGTGAATTTTCAGACCAGCTCTCCAGCTTTTTGTCAGGACTGTGATCCTCCTACCTTTGCCTCCTGTGTAGCTGGGATTACAGGTATGCACCACCAAACCCAGCAACAAATTCTTTGGTTTTTTTTTTCAAACTAAATCTTTCATGTTGAACATGCAGATGCTGGAGAAGGCTCTATGCAGTGTGTTGACGGAGGGTCTTGGACTCTAGAAGACATCACTTACTAGCTCTGTGTCCTTAGGTGTTCACCCAGACTCAGTTTCCTTATCTACAAGCAGGAGACAACAGTGCCCATCTCCTGAGATTGCAGTGAGGTAAGAGATGGCGGTGCAGGGTGCGCCTGCATGGGCTGAACCGTCACACATTGTGATGTGAGTAGTAGCAATAAATAGAGAGTAGCTCCCCTGTTTGAGGACGGGAACCTGGAGGCAGGGGCCCCACATTCTAGATAGCACCTGACCCCAGAGCGGTGTGACCTTGGGTTTGTTCCCTTACACAGGGCTTGCCCTGGAAAAGCTCTCAGGTTCCTAAGGTGGCCCCATGCCAAGCTACAAGTCAGCTCCCCTTGGTTACCTACCCAGGTGCCCCTCCTCACCTGCAGGGTAACCCTACTCACTTCCGGGGAGGCAGGCCCTTCTGGAAGTCTTTCCCTTCCACTTCCCGGCAGACAGCACAATGCTCTGCCCTTCTTGTTTCCACGCCTGCCTTCTAGATGGTGACCCACTGCCCAAGTTCAAGTTCTCCATATTTGAGGGGGAAGGCTTCCTGGCAGAAGAAGAGAAGAAAGAAAAGAAGATCACTTTCTCTGCGGAGGTTTCTGAGATATCCTGGCTCCTCTCTTACTGTTTCTTTTTGTGGAAAAACGAGTTTGGAAATAAGCTGAGACCTGGTCCCTCTCTCTGGGTGGATAAACAGTTGGGTCGTTTTGGGACACAGCTGCAGGTTAAGCCCTTTGCCGCCCCTTCCAGGTCTGGAGAAAGTGAGGTGTGAGGAGGGCCCTACCCAAGGCGGGAAGGTCAAGCACCAGGCGTCTCCTGGACAGGATGAGGAGGCCGAGTCCACTCCGCTCACCCTTCCTATGCACAGAGGAAGCCAACAACCTTGACCTTGGAGGCAGCAGCGCCCTTGAACGACGGGGACGACCCCACGGGGAGATCCACTGCCGCCGGGGGAAAGCTGCATAAACAAAGGGCGTTCCTCAGTGTCCACCCCAAGCCCGCTCCGCCCGGCCCGGGCCCCGGTTCTCCTCCGCCCCGGCGGCGGGCGTGGACCCGCGGGGGTGGAGGCCGAGGTCCGGCCCCTCGGCCCCTTCCCTTCCGCTGCCCCTCCTCTCGCTCCCCGGGGCGCGGGGCGGCCTCTTCCCCACGCGGCGGGATCGGGGCTGCAAGTCGGTCCCCGAGCTCTGCCTGCCTGGGTGGGACAGGCCCAGGGGCCTGGCCTGGCCTCGCCGAGGGATGGAGGGGACCGAGGAGGCCCCGGCCGCGGGCCGCGGCGCGCGGTGAGTACGCGGGAGGCGGCGGGCGGAGCGGGTGCAGGAGCCGGAGCCGGAGCCCGAGCAGGCCCGCCCCGCACGTCCATCTGCGGGCTGGCTTCCGAGTTCCAGCAAACGGTGCCCGGGTCACAGCAGACGGCGCCAAGCAGGACAGCCAGCCTTCCTCTCCCGACTGTGCCCACGGCACCTGGAGGGGACGTCTCTTTCTTTAAGTCAGGGACACCGATCGTCCAAAGTTCTCGCATTACCTCCTAAGCCTGTTCTCTGTGCTGGACCTGAGAGCCCAGGAGGAGGCGGCTGGGCTGCAGTGACAAAGCTGGTCCATTCTAGATTTCTGTCCTAGGCGACCTCTTGCACGGTATGTGCACGTTGCTTTGAGAAACGTCCATTGTCCACTCCTGAGACGTTGTGTAAATCGGATTGTTTTAAAACTACTAGAGAAGGGCTTGGCGATGAAGGTTCCTGGCGAGCCCTCAGTCAGTGTGTGAAGGGAAGGATGGATTGCTAACTTGTGGCTTGTGTGTATGGGTGGGACCCAGCTAGATGTGTGATGCTGAATGGGATTTTCTCAGACAGCCCAGTATTAAAACTCTGGATGGGTATTATGCAGGTTAACAATGCCTCAATGAAAAAGCCCATGTCACTTTCCTTCCCTATGAAGTCATTAATGTCAGCCATGCCACTAAGGAGCAGTGTAATGCTGGTGAGTCACTTACCCCTGTGGGCTAGCAGTCCCATCTACAAAATGAGGGGGACGGATGAAGTGATCACCAGTTTTGGAAGAGCCTGGGGCTCCTCCTTAGCACCTGTGTGAAGTAATCTCTCTACCTCAGTTTTTCCAGCTGTAGAGGTGAGGATAATAATGCTTCTCTGGCAGGATCTTCAGGGTTATTTGAGAGAGTGTTTGAAAGCACTTGAAAAGACATGCCTGGTGTAGAGCAGAGAGCAGATGGGAGTTGGGGGCTGATGGGGGGAGGGGGAGCTTCTCCTTTGAGCACAACAGGGTGAAGCTAGGAGGCAGCACCTTCCCTGGCGGGACAGATCCTGTCTGTCCCCTTCCTGAGGTCCCTCACACACCCTTAGTAGATGTTGACATCCTCCTCTGAGGCCTCCCTCCAGCAAAGCAAGAGGCCAGGAATTGGAGAATCACCTTGGCTTTCACTATGGTCTCCATTTGGCATGGGATTGTTTGAACTCTCATTTTGCTCACCTGTAAAATGGGAATAGAGCTAGAATAAGAGAACTGGAATGCTATAATTCATTACTAACATTTGCCCTGGATGTCCTCACATTGTTTAAAGGACACTCCTCTGCTCTGACTCCAGGTTACTCTCATCTGGACCGGGCTCCACGCTGAAGCACTTTGGGGACCAAGCAGGTTGCCAGAGCCATCTGGTTGCTGGGTCTCAGAATCTCTGTCTCTTTTCTCCTCTAGAGGGTCCGAGAAAGGGAGCAGAACAGGCAGCCCCATTCAGGTGACCTCAGCTGTAGAAAGAAATGGTCCTGAGCCACAGCTGGATAACAGAGCCCTCCCAAGACCCTGGCCATGTCCTCAGAAAGACAGAACACCCTGCCCAATGGTCCCCCAGCCTCCCAGAGGATGGGGGATGCAGCTCCAAGGCCCCTCTGTGCTGGAGTCCAAGGTGAGGGCTTTGAAGGAGAAGATGACAGCAGGCAAACAGGGGGCCGACCTTGACCTCACTTCCCATGAGTGCTCATCCCCCAAGAAAACCAAATGCCGGCGAGTCAAGACCAGAGGAGTCCAGACACCTTCAGAGGGCTCTCTCCTGCCAGAGGCGGGGGTGGTTCCCCATGCTCAGACCCTGAATGATGGGCAGCTGGACAGCAGTGTCAATGAGGAGGAACCTGCCAGGAATGGGGACTCCAGGCCTCCCAAGCTTCCTGCATCTGGGCTTGAGTGCTGGAATGGGCAGAGTCTGTGGCCTCCAGAAGCAGTATGGACGTTACCCGGCCACAAAACACTGCCAGGACCCAGCTCTTTGCAAGACAGCTCCACCGGCAGAGTCACGCCAGACCAGCCAGGGGGCCCTGGTCCATGTAAAATCACCCAGATGACCATTCTGAAGAAAGGAAGGCCGTCCTGCCATGGAGACCATCTGTTCACAGGGGGATATCTGGACAGCACATCCCTGACCCCTGAGGAAGACTCAGATCCCAGGACAGCCCTGCTGGGGGCCGTCTGGAAAACTGGAGAACGGGGGGCTCTGGGCACTGGAGACAACACTTTGTCCCTGTCTGACCGAGTAGAGAGGAACCGTGTTCTGCTGCAGGAAATGCTGAAGGTCTCAGGACAGAATCTTCCCAAGGTGGGAATTCCAGCCTGGACCCCGTCCTTGGACAGAGCTACACCAGGTAAGGCTCACAGTAGGTCTGGATGGGGCAGCAGGAAGATGTCCAGGTGAAGGAGAAGGAAGGGGGCCAGTCATGGCAGGAGCAAGAAAGGAGGCGAACACATTTGTCTGTCACCAAAATCATTAGTGTGTCCTCTTACTGTTGGTATTGATATAGGTTCTTTACCACCTCCCAGGTAGCCCCGCATGCTGAATTCCCCATGACCCTCCAGGTCAATGGGAGGTTACCCTCTGTGCTTGGAGGAGAGGTTACCAGGACTTCTTCCCTGTACCTTGTAGCCCTTTCCAGAGCAGCCTTTTGTACTCCCTCCAGGCCAGCCCTCTCCCATCCAGCGAGCGTCATTGCCCTCTGGTGGATAGCAGACAGGGGCCCTTCCCTACAAAAGCCTAGCTCTGACTCTGCCTGGCTGAGCTTCTACCCACTGCGCTAAGTGCTGTGGTGGCACTGCTGGGATGTGTGACCGTTCAGACCCGAGAAGGCGGCCTTCCTTCATAAACTCACTCATCACCCACCTGCAGGGCATGTGTGAGGTGGCCCATCCACAGTCATGGTAACAGACTGTGCTTCTGATTCTCAGGCTGAGACACAGCAAGAGGTTGGATTTTCCTGGGGAATAAATTTCTGGAAAGACCTCTCCCAGCATTCGTTAAGTAGCAGCTGAGAGCCCAATTTCTGGTAGTGCCCTGATCTCTCCTTCTGTTCTGGGCCCTAGAGCCACCAGCAGGGGGCGTGGACTGGGACTCCGGCATTCCCCTGCAGGACTCAGACACAAACAGGTAAGGGCTTGAAGCCCAAATTTTCTCTCCCTCCTTCCTCGCTGTCAAACTTGCACTTACTGCACACCAGGACAGTAGGGACCTTGCAAAAGCCATAGGACAGGCAAACCCTGTGCAGGTGGACAGAGACGCACTGCCACTCATCATCCCTGAGACCCTGTAGACGGTGCCAGGTGTCCCCCGTGCCCCAGGCTGCTGCCCACCTGCTACGTGAGCCAAACCACCAGGCATAGAGGTGAGGATTGCCAACTGCCTGCACCTTGTCCTGTCTGGGTTTCTGTCTGTCTTTAAAGTGAGAGAAATCGTATCTGACTGGTGTAAGGCACGATAATGGTTATGAAAGTCCTCAGGAAAAGTAGAATGCAAAGCTTTTACTCCACCTATTCTTTTCCTGATCGAAGGAGTGTGTTGGGATCAGGGTCAAGGATTTCACTTCAACCTCATAGTGATGGTGACAGACTTTTTGGCCCCTCTATCAGTGTTGGGAGGACACCAACACCTGTCCACGGGCAACATCTCGAGCCAGGCAGAGTAAGAGAAGTACAGTCAAGGCCTGAGCCACCGCTGGTGCCCACACAGAGGTTGGCCCCAGCCCCTGTTGGCACACACGTCTGAGAGGCCCTGGGACTGGGGCCGGCTCCCATTTCCCCAGCTGCATGGTGATGTCAGCCTCTGTGGGTCTGGTGATTTCTGCTGAGGGCGGAAAGCAGCACTGTTGCTTCTCTGAGATGAGACTGCTCCCCGCAGAAGTCCCACTTAGCTTGACCCGCCCTCCAGAAAACACAGACAGGACCTCTCTCAGAGTCCATTCAAGCTTCGACAACAAAATAGACTGGGTGACTGATACATAACAGAAATGTACTTTGCACCGTTCTGGGGGCTGGCTATCCGGATATTCAGGCAGATTTGGTGTCTGGTGAGAGCCTGGTTCCTGGTTCATAGATGGCACTTTCTCACTGTATCTTCACATAACAGACAAGGAAGCTGTCTGTAAGGACATTAGTTACCTCCTCAGACCCCTTTTCCTAATATCATCATATTGGAGGTTCAGTTACAACACAGGAATCTGGGGGGTGCATAAGCATTCAGACCACAGCGGTCCCCAGTCCTGCACTCTGCTTCACAAAGCAAGGGCTGCCCAGTGTCGGGTGATTTGGCTTCTGGTGAAGAGAGGGATGTCTAGCTCTTTAGTCTCTCATTATTTATGACCTCCTGCCTCCATGGCCACTCTTCTTAGCCTCTTAGCTTGTCCTCACCTGACCCCGCCAGTGTGGAGGAGTGAGACTGCAGAACGGACCGCTGTCCTCAGCGACACTCTGCTCCCCTTGGCCTTCCCGCTGCGCTCTCTCTATCTCCTGCCCTGTGAAGCCTCCTAAGGAGAAGGCCAGAGCAGAGGCCCCTGTTGTGCCTCAGAGATGGGGCCCCTGCCCTGCAGCTGCTCCACCACCCCCTCCACCTGCACCCTCTCTCATGGGGAGTGCTCTGCAGGAAGACACAGCTGCCAGGAATTTGTTCAGAGGTCACTGCTGGAAGGAGAAGCCAAGCTCCTGACTTGCACTGTGGATAATAAGTAACACAACAGACTCATTTTAAAAAAGGAGAACATCATCGTGGGGGAGGGGCTTTCCCATAGTCCTGTGAGGAGATGGCACTGGGGGAGACTCCTCAGGTCAGAGACCTCTGGATTGTTGCCCAGCCTGCCAGTCATCTGCAGCCTTGTGCTGTACCTTAGAATTCAGGTAGGTGTGTGTGCGTGGATGATACACAATACCTGTGTATTGCATGATTTGTGCGAGTCTGTGTGTGTGTGCGTGGATGATGGGTGAGTGGGGAAGGGAGAGAGAGAGCAATCTTGGTTCAAAGACCAATGAAATGTCCACTTGGAATGCCCAACAGATAGGGACACAAAGTTGATAAGAGGACCAGATCTCTGCTAGGTAGACACCCAGGTTGAGGGGTCAAGGAACATAGCCAGATTGAAGGAGGGAGGAGTGCCGGCTGTGCTACGATGCCCCAAAACACTGCCAGGCTCTGTCTCCTCTAAGTGGGGTGGATTTACTGATGCCACTTCCGACAGCCGAACTTCCCACAAGACCTGTGGAGTAAGGCAGGCTTCCCTTAGCTCTGTGCTACACGGGGTTAGGGTTCAGGGCTTGGGGTCTGTACTAAGGAGTGTAGGACCCTGGGCAGAAGAGTGTACCAACACTGTGGCTGACCACCATCATGACCATTCTCAGGACATGCCCTAGTGGAACCTTCTCCAAGGGGCAATGAGTCCTGAGGATCTTTTCCGGGTTTGAGGATTAAGTGGTCCTGCGTCATCCACGCGAGCTTAGCATCTTTGTGGTTAGTGTTGCAATCCAGTAACCATTCTGACCAAGTTAACCCAACATGTACTTATTATGCTTGTGATTGGTACTGCTGTGCAAAGTAAGAAGACCAGAAGCTCATGACATTGACTGCAGAGTCCAAGACAGTTCTTGGTGGATGGGGGGCTGATCCAGCTTGCTGTGGGGTGGTCCTCGGGAGTCAGCTGTGGAAGTGAGCCGTAGAAGTCATCCAGCACCATCAATACTAAGGATCGGAAGAGGAGAAGACCTGTACCCCCAGCCCCAGGGTTGCCCCTCTATTAAGGGATAGGAGAGGACTGAGGCCTAGAGGATCTGAACTTCCCAGCAGCCAAAGGAGCAGGCCGGCAGCTGCTGCTTTCCCACTCTTACTATGTGCCAGGCGCTGTGCTAAGCATGTTCCTGCATTCTCATTTTATCCTAATGACAAACTTTATGTGTTGTTCCTGGTTCACTGACAGAAACCTCTCTGGGGGGAGGTCATGTGACTTGCCTAGGGCTTGGGGCCAGGCACTCAGGGCTGCCTGGCTGCAAAGCCTGTGCTCTATTATGCTGCCCTGCCTTGATCTGTTCTTTCCATCCCCTCACCAGACCTCCTTCCCTTGGGTTGGGAATCTGGGGATCCTCTGCATCCTCCAGCCTGGTCTGTTCTCAGGTATGGACAAAGAAGGGTAGATGAGGGCCTCATGAGATAAGCTTGTTCTTGTCTGGTGCTGGTGGCTCACGCCTGTAATCCTAGCTACTTGGGAGGCTGAGATCAGGGACAGATGGTAGTTTGAGGTATAGTTTGTGAGAGACCTCATCTCCAAAATAACCAGAGCAAAATTAACTGGAGGTGTGGCTCAAGCGGTAGAGTGCCTGCTTTTCGAGCGTGAAGTCCTGAGTTCAAACCCCAGTCCCACCAAAAATAAAAGGTAAATGCATTCTGCCTCTGTGGAGATGTTGAGACAATGGGGCCTTGATTTGGGTAAAGGAGGTGAGAGGTGGGACCTCAAGAGAGCACAATCTGATCAGTGCCTGGGCTAAACCCCTGAGAGAAAGAAGCAGGAGGACCAGAAGAGTGCACTGTGCTTGGGCTACCTGTCAGGCGCCTCCACTCTCAGCAACCCTGGCTACCCTGTCTCACTTGTGCAGGGGTTCTGGATCTGGAATTGTCGTCGCTATAAAATGGCCACAATCATCTTGGCCTCTTCCCTTCTCTGAGAGACATGTTGAGATTAGAGTTTCAGGGCATCCCGTATTGATCCAGCATAAGCTAAAATTCTGTGAAACCAGACAAACCGCAGCAGTCCATGCAGTGCTGTCTCCAGACCCTACACTTACAGTGCACACGGGCACCTATAGGACACCTTGTGTGCACCTGTGTGTCAGGCTACATGCGGGCACCAGGAGGCCCCTGAGGTCCAAGGGCTCTCCGTGGCAGTCTGAGAGACAGTACTGCAGGCCCTGACACTCTGGCTGAAATCAGAACTTTGTGGATATGATCTGGAAGGCCCCAGACCCTGGAGCGTGTCTGCAAGGGCTTTACTGATCTGCTGTGGGGAAAACAGGGAGGAGAAGCTCTTTGGGTTGTGCTGTTTATGCCAACATATTGAGTGGTTGACGAGGGGAGTGATGGCCTGGGTGGCTTAATTCCCTTCCTCCCTGTGGGAGGATGGGCCCCTAGGGCATGTACCCCTTCAGGAGGCCTGCTGTGTGTTCGTGAGCAGAGAGGGACAGTGGCGCAGTGTTAGCCACATAGTTCAGACTTGGCAGGGTCTCCATTTTCAGGCCTCTGCTGGAATAGCTTGGGTCAAAACTCGTGCTTTCCAGCAGTTTGGAGACTCTAATTTAAAGGTGAGCAGCCCTAATGAATTTCAGAGGCCTGGCCTGTGCCTTCAGTGGTCAGGCCCGTAGCTGTGAGGAAAACAGCCCTTTAAAAATTAATATATTAACTAGTATTTTTGGAGACTGCTTGAGATTGGGGAAAAAAATTGCTTTTCCAGAACACTTCACCTTCAGTCACCAAACATATGGGGATTTTGCCCCCACACCAAGCAAGTCTGTAGTGGCCACCAGCTGGGTGTCCTGCAGTTCAATTCAGTTCTGACATATCGACACCGCGGTGGTATCACATCCCACACGTTGAGGGCCCAGTCCCATAAGACTGTCCTCAGATGCCAGTCATAAGTCCTGGGCTGTGACCTATGCTTCTGGCCAACTAGCTATAAATCACCGTTTTTACCATTTCCTCCTTAGGTTCCATTAATTTGCTAAGATGGTGCACAGAACTCAGGGAAATGCTTCACTTACGTTTACCCCTTTATCATGGTGGATATTACCAAGGATATAGGTGATAGTCCTTGGAAGAGATGCACAGGGCAAGGTAGGTGTGTGGGAAGGGGTGAGACCTCCATCCTTCTCTGGTTATACCCAGCCCTGATCAATTGCATCACTGGCCATTGTGAGCAACTCAACCTTCTTTCCCTGTCACCTCTCAGGAGGTTGGGGGCAGGACTGAAAGTTCAAACCTTCTAACTCTGTGTTGGTGGGGACCAGCCCCCATCCTCAAGTTATCTAGGGTCCCCCAGCCACCAGTCATCTCATTAGCACACATAAGACATGCTGATAACTGGAATTTCTGTAGGTGTGTGCCAGGAACCAAAGGCAAGAGAGCAAATGTATATTGTGTCACAGTATCAATGGAGTCTCATGTGAGTTGACCACTGTGGGGTGTGTGCATTGTGCATGTGTGTGCGTGTGTGATTTCAGATAGAATGGTCCATTTCTGCTCTCACTGCCCACTGCCTGACCTGGCTGCAGCCCTAGCTGTCTCTGGTATAGCTTGCCTCTATGGAGGACAGAACCATGTGGTTCCCAGAACGGGAGCTGAGGAAATGTCTGGCAGAGGCCAGTAGGCTGGAGCCTGTGCGGGCTTGTGAAGGTCTGGGTGGAAGCGGGAGCGGACATACCAGATGGGTGAGGCCTGCAGAAATGCTTGGGGGAGCCTGCAGTGGAATGTGGGCACGATCCTATCAGGATCCAGGGTAGAAGGCGGCTGAGGCCACTTATGGAAAGCCCTGGGATTTAGATTTTAATCTGCATGTAGAGACATTTCACATTTAACGGTCTTCCTCCTGTTGCCCAGTCTCCCAACAGCAAGATAATCTTATCTCCTGGAAGTGTGGACTGGCATTGGGCCCTATGGGCTGGCACACTCCTGGTAAAGGAGTTTGAAGGCCATTCAATTCACTGGTGAGGTTCTAGATCTTCTGGTGTCTTCTAGTACCGGGGTCACAATGATTCCTGGGGTAAGCATGGAAGAAAAGACACTCCTGCCCTACCCCAAGTTTCCGAGGGCCAGGAATCACTGAGAGTCTCCAGGGCAAGGTGTCACTAAAAGTGACTGAGCCCTGCCTGTCTTGGTGATCCCTGCACCCCCTCCCAGGCTCACCCTGCCCCATGGAAGAGATCTGCAGGCACAAAGGAAAACCTGTACCACTCCTGGCCCCACCGAGACTAAAGGCAAATGGAAAAAAAGCTAATTTAGCCTCAACCCACTGCAACAGTGTCTAGTGCTATGAACCCTATGTGAGAAGGAGCCCTACCAAAGCCAGTGCCACCTGGAACAACTGCATGTTGTTCTGTACCATGTACTCAGCACTCTCACATTTGCATCTCACATGAAAATCCCATCATAGTCCGATCTTTACCAATGAAGGTGCTCAGGAAAGTAAGTCTATCCAGGGCCATTCCTCTGGAGAAGCTAGGCTGAAAATCAAGAAAAGTCCTTCTCCTTTCCCTCCGGAGCCAAGCAGGCCTCTGCTCCCCTCCTCCATTGGGGGTATCTCAGAAACCTGCTGCCACCTATGGCCACTTCTGTCCCACCCACACTGAGCACACGCAGGGTTGACCAGCCTTACTGGCGTTCAACAGGGAATTCATCACCTTCTGATGTGTTACAGCAATGTAACACGTCACTGTTGATAACAGCAAAAGTAATAATAATAACAATAATAATAAATGCTAACATTTATGGAATCTTAGCAAGTGCCCACCGCTGTGCTAAGGCCTAACTTTAAAGGAATTATTCTCACTTATCTTAACAACTGAACCCTTATTTACCAGATGAGGAAACTGAAGCTTAACCCTAAGTCACCTGCCAGATGACAGAGCTAGGAAGGGACAGTCCAGAGCTTAGAACTGGGGCAGGCTGCCCTGAACCAACTGTGAGCCACCTCTCTGGGCAATGTCTGGTCAGTATCTATGACTAGGTCCCTGCTCTCATGGAGCTTGTTGTCCACAATGTTTCAGGCACAGCTTTTCCTCTTCTCACTCAGGAAATTGCACACAGTATGACAGTAAGAGAGTTTTGTCCTTGGTCATTGAAAACTTTCAAACATACAAAATAGGCCAAATGGTAAGCAAAGGGTTCACGTGTCTTCTGTATGCTAGTTCCTTCCACTTTATTGACCACATCCTGTTCCCCAATTCATGAACTCGAGATGAAAGGGTTAAACCCCGGCTTGCTGGAGTTTATCATTTCACTCTGGGATTATGATGGCTGCAGAAAAAAGCCACTCTGACCTCTTGACCTCCCTAGCTAAGACAGAAATGGTGGCTCTCCTGACCTGCCTGGCTGTGAGGGGAGGTGAAGTCAGCGCTAAGCCTGCCCCTCGCCCAGGATCCTTGCCTAGATGGAGAGACCAGAGGGGCAGGGGCACATGCTGTCCTTAGGGAGCTGGTGGCTGGAGGGGAACAGAGAAGGTCCTGAACATGCCAGTGGTCCTCTAGGTTCCACCAACAATTACTTCTTTGTAGGCTCCAGACTTCTGTGGTATGAACTTCCCAAGCTGGGGAGCTCAGAATCCCCCACCCTACTGCAAGCTGCCTGGCCAAAGGCCCAGACTCCCAAGGAGGCAGTATGAGTCCTCTCCTCTCTCCAAGCCCCTGCTTGCAGGTGGAGAAACTGGGACCAAGAGAGGGAAAGCACTCTCTGTTCTATGCTCTACACACCAAGCTGATGAGCCCCAGGGTGCAGGCTTTCAAGATAGTGGTAGATGCTGTCTAGTCTTTGGTGGGAATTGCCTTTGCCTGGCTGTGCACTGACTGCCCCCACCCTACCAGGAAATTTCCAGAGCAATTGTGAGAGCCAGGATATGTGGATCATGGGTAGAAAGGTTGACTCCGGACTGTGTGACCTTGGCAGAGGCCAGGGTCAGATTAGACTGGAAAATCTCCCTCAGATGAGAGAGTCTGAACTTGGCTGGTCAGGCAGGTTCAGCATCCCTCAACACTGCACCTGTGGGAGAAAGGCCACCCACCCTCCACAGGGCTGGCTAGGGCCTCCCATCTACAGGGTACACAATAACTAGGAGTCCTTGTTCTGCTGACCTCGGCTGCCAGCTGTGAAGGGGACTGCCACTCTCCTCCCTGCTGTGTGTTACTGCATGAATGCCTCCAGGCATCTAAAAAGTCTGCTTTTATAATCAGTGGAGAAACCAGCTTTGTCTGCCAGAGACTGAAGCGGGGCAGCTGATATGGGCAGGGTGGAGGTGGAGGTGGGGGAACCTGCTCTAAGGAGAGGGAGCAGAAAGGAAACAACAGAACTGGAAAATGGTTTAAAAACCTGGGGGTGAGGCTGATGGTGGCAGCATCTGGCCAGCTGCCTAGGGACCCTCCTGCAGGCCTTGTGACAAATGCCCTCTGACAGCCAGGGAAGCACAGCTGTCGCCGGAAAGTTCTGAATGTGTGGGCGGGCAGCCAGAGGCCCGCGGCTGCAGGGCCACCTCTCCAGGCTGGTAACCTCATTATCTGTGCTGTCGCATCAGGAGCCCCAGGGAACACAGCTGTTCTCTGCTGCGTTGGAGGAGCTGCCTGCTCTGGAAGTCGGCTGGGGGAGGGGTGGACAAGGAGGGGGGTGTCTCTTCTGCCAAAGGAGGCCTCCTGGGGCAGCAGGCCTGGAAACGCACTCTCCCACATCACTCCCATGGAGCCTTCCTTCCTCCAAGGTAGGGCCTTGCTCTGCCAAGGTTCACAGGCACAGCTGGTGTGTTTATGCCATCAGTCTTTCCCCCTCTGATCCAAAGGAGGGCTTGATGCAAATGACGAGAAGAAAATAAAAAGAGAATTGTCTGTCCAGAGCTTGTCTGAGGATGTCCCGAGGAGCCCTTGCCCCTGGAAACCTCAGAGTTTGTCCACTCACATCTTTGTCATCAGGAAACTGTCTGGTACCTCCCCTGGTCAAGATGAGGCTCCTTTGCCTGCAGGGCGTGAAGAGTGGGCTGGGGGATCCCAGGTCTGAGATCCAGGCCATCAGTCTTCTGGCTGCCTGAGTTCTTTCTGTGGACCCTATTGTGAGGACACCCCAGCCTATGTGACAGTGAAGTTACATCAAAGAGTGTCCCTGTCCTTGGCCATAGACATCTTGGCTCACCCTGGGAGCCAAGAAGGCAGAAGACAGGACACAGAAATAATGCTGGAGGCGACGGGCTGCCTGCTGTCTGCTCTGCTGTGCTCTCAATTGATGTTCGACCTTGAGCAATGTGCCACCGGTCCTCTCCACACCGGACACCCTCATCTGTCAAGTGGAGAGAGCACCTGCCCTTGGCCAGCCTGGCTGGGGAAGCGGTCCTCGGAGAACACTGTCTTGTCAGGGAGGGGTGGGCACTGCCGTAACCCGGCACAGGTGGCGTGTCACTGTCTGGGAGGCAGCTTTGGAAAGTGGAGATGTCATTTCTGCAGCTCTGGACTGGCCGGGGAGGCAGCACATCTGGTAGCTGCTGGGCTGCTAGAGGACTTTTATTATTATGAAAATCGAGCCATTTGCTGACTTGGTTCGGGTCCAGTTTCATTTCTCCCAGCCACAAGCATGTGAGCCCTGAGCAGATGCCTGACAGGTTGGGATTGGGACTCAGGCAAGGAAGCACCAGGATTTATAAAAATGTCATTGCCCCAAAGGACCTGAACTCTGATGGGCAGTGCCCGGATCCTCTCGGCGGTGGGCGCTGGGGGCGGTGGCGTGTGTGCTTGAGTGGGGATGTGTGTGGGTGCCGAGAGACAGAAGGAGACGGTGAGGTCTGCACAGAGAGACCATCTGTCTGGGCACAGGCCCAGCCTCACAACCCCAGGGCCTTCTCTTCCTCCTCCTCCCAGACCGCTCCTGCTGTCTGCCCCTGAAGGAACAATAGACTCATCTGGAGATGCTCCTACCCTTTCCAGATCCTCCCGGGGTCTCCTCAGCTCCCAAGTAGATGCCTGAGGCAGGCCAGCTCCTCAGCCCCTGTGTGAGCTCGAGGCCATTTTCTAAGCCCCAGAGCCCGGGCAGGGACCCTCTGCGTGGAGCAGGAGGAGGAAGCACACACAGGGCTTTTCCTCGCAGAGCTGGTGCTGGACACTGTGAAAGTCCTTCTAATCCCTGTTATTTTTCTCTAATCCCTCCCCACCCACCCTGGCCTGTGTGCCACCCTGCAGGGTCTTGGGTCCCAAGCCAGAGCCCGTGCTGAGCACCAGGCCTGAGGAAGGTGAACGCCTGCTGCAGCATGCTCGCACGAAGACCAGGACTCAGCCTCTCCGTGCCAGCCATGATATTGTGCCCACCATTGCTCAGGGCAGCCGGTGAGTGGGGGCCTGAGCCAGGCTGGCTTGGGAAGGCCATGGCAGGGAAGAGTCTGTAACAGGGACAGATGAGTCCAAGCCAAAGTGCTGATGCGTCTTCCTCCCCTCTATGTGAGTGTGTGTTTCCCAGGCCAGGCACTTTCTGTGATCATTTAGTCAGCCAACACCCTTTTACAGAGGGACTACTGCGTGTCATAAATTGAGATACAGAGATGAATGAAACATGATCTGCTCTACCCAGGGGTGTGGAGGTCACAGTCTCCAGGGAGCAAGATAGCTTACTTAGTTCTGAGGACTATGGTGTAGGAGAGGGAAAACAACATGTGTATCCAGTTGGACCCTGTAACTCCACCTGGAAAGGACAGGTGGGGCTCTCAAGAGGAAATGGCTTCTTGGCTGGGGCATGAAGAAGATGTCATACTCACTGGGCAGATGGTGGGGAGGAGGTGGGATGAACATCCTCGGAACCGTAGCTGCAAGCAGAAGCACCATGCTCAGCCAGGCTGGAGAGCCAGAGGCATTGCAAGATGGGGGCGTGAAGGCTGCAGGATGGGGGTGTGAAGGCTGCAGGATGCCCCTGCTCCACGGGCTGGAGAGCTCATGGCATCCCTCAGGCCTGCTGAACAGCTCCATGTCCCCATAACAGCTTGGAGTCCCTGAAAGACATTCAGCCGGTAGACAGCACGATCCCATCTACTGACAATGCCATTTGACTGCAGGGCACGTTGGATCCAGGAGACTGAGGCAGGAGGAGGCTAGTGCCATGGTCCTGGTGAGAGGAAAAGGGAGGAGGGCATGGAGACTTCTCAGAGGTCTTCAAGAACCAGAGCACGTTGGCCTACCAGGCAGCAGAGAAGCCAGACTTCTGGGGTTTGATTCTGACCCTGCCAGATACTAGCTGTGTGTCTTTGGAGAAGTCTCTGTGCCTCAGTTTCCTTATCCAAAGAATGGGACTATATTAGTGCCTGTTTTACAGGTTGTCACGAGGGTTATGTGAAGTAATATACAGGATGTCACCTCTAAGTATTAATCATTCGATTACCTAGCAGTGGAGGCAAGAAGAGAGGAGCATCCAAGACATAGTCCAGGGTTCCCACTCTGTCTGGGAGTTTGGTGGGGCCCTGGCCAACCAGTGACACCAAGGTGAGGGCCAGACTTTGGAGGGGGGAGCCCCAAAGCAGCCATGGGACCCATCAGGCCACTGGATACAGGATGTTTATTTTATTTATTTATTATTTTTTTAATGGTGCTGGGGTTTGAACTCAGGGCCTCACGCTTGCTAGGCAGGCGCTATACCACTTGAGCCACTCTGCCGGCCCAGACACATGTCTTTAGAGGAGACATCAGAGCTGGAGGTAGGGTTCTGTCCTGATTGCATGATGCTGGAGCCAAAGTGTGATGAGACAGAAAGAAAAAGTTCAAGGGCTTTCACATCACGAGTGTGGCTGCCCCTGAGTGGCCACCCTATCTTTAGTGTCGGGCCTCGTCTGTGTATGGTGAACCTTAAAGAGCCACTTACCATGGAGTTCTCCAGCACGCTGAGCCAGCCCCTAGTCACACTCCTCGGCTGAGATGAGGCTCCCGGGCCAGGCCGCATCTTGCCAGGCCTGAGCAGGACCACCTGTGTAGTTAGCAAGACCTGTGACTCACAGTGGGCATGCCGGATCTGCCTTCTCTACCACCATGTGGCACTGGAGGGAATTAGGACTGCTGGTAAAACTGGACCGTGTACTCTTTGGTTGAGGGTGGTGAGCCTGCTCATTATAATTGTGGTTGTTATTGTTATTTGGGGTGCTGGGGATTAAATTCTGGACTTCATACTTGCTTGGCAAGTGCTCTACCACTTGAGCCATGTCCCCAGTCCTTTTGCTGTTTAGTTTATTTTTTCATTCTTTTACCTGGACTGTTTTCCAACCATGATCCTCCTACCTCTGCCTGCCAAGTAGCTGGGATTACAGGCATATATCATCATGCCCAGCTTGTTTTAAAAATAGACTCTTGCTAACTTTTGCCCAGGCTGGCCTCAAACCCTGATCTTCTGTCTCTACTTCTTGGGAGTCCATCATGTCAGTGTTCAGTGTTCATTGTAACCCTAAGAGGAGCTTGGGGGACCCTAAATCTTGGCAAAATGTGCCTATTAGGCTTACGCTTCCAACGACCTCCTCTCCTGCTCTCACTTTCTATAGATATTAGACTAGGGTAGAGAGTCACAACTCGGACAAGACTATCTGCGAAACAGACTTCCTTGTGTAAATGTCCTCTTCAGTACTTTCTCTCTCCAAATCATTTCAACAGCTCTCCATAATCCCAGTCACTAACCTAAAATAGGTTCCTTTATTCCTGGCCATAGAAATATGCAAGGTGACCCACTTTAGGAGCTGTGGTGTCCAGAAAAGCATTGCTATGGCTTGGCATCCCGGTGAATCCTCGGAGGATATTGCTGTGAACTCCACACCAGATGGCTTACTGCAGCTGCTTCTAAAGGTTATGCTCCATCAGATCGTCCCACAGGGCCGAGCAGAGTAGCCTGGTGATGCCACACAGGCCCCAGGCCTTGGCTAGCTGCACCCAGCCCTGATCTAGGCCCGTGCATCATTTCTCCCAAAGAGCAGCTTGGCGAGAGATGAGGAAGAGGAGGGGCAGGCAAGTCGGCTACAGAAGGCCTTCTTTATCTTGGGTCTGGCTGGACGCGGCCAAAACAGGGCTTTTCCAGGACGTGAAGCGGTGGCGGCAGCTGTGTTTGCTGGAAACAAATCGCAAACCAATGTGGAAATTGAGCGACCCCTGGACATGCAAGCTCTTGCCGTTTGGGGAACAGGCCCACTTAGACCGGTGTTCCTAATCCCAACAGGGCAGGATGTCAGCAGGATGCTCCCTGGTAGGGTGACACTAAGGGGTATTTTCCTGTGTGGAGACTCATGTGGCTGGAATAGCACTGCCATGGAAAGTGGTGCTGTAGAAAGGGGACTCCTCATTAGGCCACACAGCTCCAGGACTACAGCAGAGGCTCTGAGCACAGTCAGACTGGAATCCTGTTTTCCAGAAGTGGTTACTAAGGCCACTGAGGGCTGCCATCTAAAGAAGCTGCCAGCTCTGGGACTTGCCAGCTGCTCAGCTGGCTCCCATGCTCTGCCTGCGCCTTCAAAGGCCTCTCCCTACTTTTCTGCTCTGTTGCGAACACTGCTGGCGTGGGCTGTGGGTCTGAATAATTGGGTTGAAGACACCTTACATGATTAGCTCTCCTTCATTTCTCCTTCCTCCCTTTCATGCAAATTCTGGGATGGCTCCACTCACCATCTTGGTGTAAAAGTTACGGCCACTGATGTAACTTATGGGAACTGGATCTATTACCGTACTGCCTTGAAACTGAGTTTTTTTTTTTTTTTTTCCTTGCCAGAATTTACAGTCCACAGGTCCCCGGCAGCACAAGGCATTGGCCCTGGGTTCTGTGTGGGGATGGGGGCTCCAAGCTGTGTGCAGAACCTCCAGTGAGCCCTGCCTGTGTTGGGTGGTCCTCGCTGGTAAAAGTATCCTGTTTCGGTGCAGGGCTTCTGCTTGGCAGGGTACCCCTTGACCCTAGGGGGCATGGTGACTATTTCTCAGCAGCCCCTCCAGCCCTAACATCTCTCAGTCTGTGATGGCAAACGCAAAGCGTAAGTGTTCAGAGGACGGAGACACTGTCGTGGCCATTAGTCAAAGTCTCCAGAGAAACGACCAACATGATGTGCTTACAGAGGGAGGTTTATTTTAAGGAATTGGCTCACACACTTGCGGAGGCATGGCAAATCCAAACCTGCAGGCTAGAGACCCAGGGAAGAGGTGCAGTTCAAGTTCTAATGTGGTCTACTAGCAGAATTATATCTTGCTCGGTGAGATCAGTCCTTGTTCTCCTAACTCCTTCAATGATAGGACAAGGCCTATCACATTGTGGAGGGTAGTCTGCTTGATTCCAAGTCTACAGATCTCAATGTTAGTCTTGTCCAAAATACATCTTCACAGAAACATCCCAAATGATGCTTGACCAGGTATCTGGGCAGTGTGGCCCAGCCAAATTGACATAGAAAATTAGCCATCACACACGGTAGCTGTGTAACAGGTAATTTTTAATAAACAGGCATGAAAAGCATACAGACTGAGAAGGAAATTCCAGGAAATGATGGCAGGAGGGCTACACCCGGAGAGTGGGGAAGGAAGCCTGACTGCCTTATGAGTGGGGGGGCTGGGGGAACAAGAGCTGCAGAGGGAAGTAGAGAGGAGTGTGTAGGGCCTGTATTTTCATCCCAAAGCCCATCACCTAAATCCTGTGCTCCCTTGGGGGGCATGATGCCAGCTAGGCACCAGGGGGACCCACAGGAGGCAGGTAGTGAGCTGGACAGAGGCCACTGCAGTATGAGAGAAAAAGAAGTGATAAATGAGAGAAACAGGGTGAACCCCAAATTCTTAGCAGTAGATTGGTGGGAGGCTACTGGTGGGAGGGGAGAAGTATGGGCCTCTGATAGGAACTAGCCTGTGAGCCTGGGCCCATTTGCATAGTGGTCTGTCTCCAGGGGCCCTGGTGTGAGGTTTATGAGTGGGAGGGGTGGCTTTTGTTGCTAAGGAGAACTTGACCACCATCCAGGGTATCTCCCAGAGCCAAAGCTAATGGTGGACGCAAAGAGTCTCCCCAGGACAGCAATGTCATAGTCAGAGACAGGATGAGCAGATGTGAGGCAAGCTGGGGAGGATTTGGAATGGTTAAGACTTAAGAGTCCAAAGTCTGCATGGAGGTGCATGCCTGTAATTCCAGTGCTAGGAAGGCTGAGGCAGGAGGACTGTGAGTGCAAGGCTAGTTGAACATACATAGTGAACCTCTGTCTCAAAAAAAAGAAAAAGACTCAGAATCCAGGGAAGAAGGTCACTGTCTATGAGTCTGAATTTTGTCCAGCCAAGGTGATTAGGAATCCTGAGTGGAAACTCCAGGTCAAGAATGCACAGAAACCCTGACTTCAGGGCTCACACAACCTCCGTAAAGATTTAAACTTAATGTCTTCCTGTGAGGGCTATAATCTGAGGGGGACTGGTTCTAACCCCCCCGATACCAAAATCCATGAATTCCCAGATATGAAAGAGTATAGAATTCACATATAAATTGTACATTCTCTGGTATGCATTAAGCCATCCCTAGATTACTTAAAATACCTAACACAATGTAAACACTATATAGCAGTTGTTACACTATATTATTTAGGGATAATGAGAAGAATGAAAAGTCTCTACCAGCTCAATACAGATGCAATTTCCCTTCCTTCTCCCTTCCTCCTTCCTTCCTTTCTTCTTTCCTCCCTTTCTTTCCTTTCCTTCCTTTCTTTCCCTTCCTTCCTTCCTTTTTCCCTTTCTTTCCCTTCCTCCCTCCCCTCCTTCCCCCTTTTCTTTCTTTCTTTTGGTGGTGGTAGTGGGGTTTGAACTCAGAGCCCTGTACATGCTAGGCAGGTACTCTACTACTTGAACCATGCCCCCATCTCTTTTTACTTTAGTTGTTTTGGGGATAGGGTCTCATATATGCTGGGACTGACTTGGACTGGGATCCTCCTATTTGTGCTTCCCACGTAGCTGTGATGACAACACACTACCATGCCTGACTTTTATGTTTGACATGGGGTCTCATGAACTTTTTACCTGGGCTGGCCTTGAATTCCACTCCCCCCCACCCCAGTCTCCACCTCCCGAGTAGCTGGGATTACAGATGTGAGCCACCATGCCCAGCTCAGATGCAATTTCTTTTTCAAATATTTCATTACATAGTTGGCTGAATCCACAGATGTGGAGCCCACAGATACAAAAGGCTGATTGAACATAGCTCCACAGTTCACTGGCAGAAACTCACGATGGCCAGATCACTTCCTTTCCCTAAACACCCACACACTCACTCCACATGTATAATGTCTTAATGTCTTTGAAATCTTCTTTCTGTATGATCAAAAGTTTAATAGTGTTTCATTATGACATTTCCACGTATGTATGCATTATATCCTGAATTGGTTTGTCCCCACTATTTTTCTCCTTTCTATCTTAGTCTCCTTCTTACATTGATTTCAACAGGTTGGAAAATTCAATATTCATTCCAGAAAGTACATCAGCTGCATTCACCTTCTCTACTTCCTTCTTTTCACTGTTCCTCACACTGAGCCAGGCAACAGAGCAAAAGCCCAAAGTAAGGAAGTCCATGTTGATTTTGTTCAGTTGAGTATTAGGATGGGCTTGTAAGCTCCTGTGGCTTGCCACTTGGCTCCTCAGGAACTTAATTTGGGCTAACCTTGTAGCTACCACAGAGCATCATGGGAGACTGGACCTCGGGGTGAGGAGGATAGGCCAGGAGGGCCCAGGAAGGGGTCCCACCTTCCTCACATCTTCAGCTTGTCATCGCTCTCCTGCCTCTTCTTTAGAGATGGCCAGAGAAGCCCAGCCCAGGACCCCAGGATGACATTTGTCTACAGAGAGAACCTCCAGAATGGGAACCTGAGCGACTCCTCCAGTGGGGAGTCCAGCAGCGGTCAGTGGCCCAAGCGGGGTGTCGCCCCATCTCATGTCCGCTTCAAGGACGAGTCTGCCCAGGAAGCTGAGTTCCGTTACCTGCAGCGGTTGCAGCAGCACCAGCGCCAGGTGCTGGCTCAGTGCTACAGGCGGTGGGCCAGGGCCCCCTGCGCTCCAAACCAGACCTCGCCGACTACATCCACCGGGACCCAGGGGACAGCAGGTTCCACAGGTCTGTGGGTGGCCAGGACCACGGCGACCTCCCTGTGCCACGGCCCACATGTGACAGTGAGAGGAAGTGCCCAGCCTGCGGCAGCTGTGTTCAGAATGGACGTCCTGCTGAGGGGACACTTGGCCCAAGGATCCTCCAGGACTTCCAGGCTGCCGATGGGGCCAAGGCAGTGCCACTGGAGTCCTGTAATTCTCATGGCCTGAATTCCCCTTTTCTGTCCCTCTCTGCCCATCAAGGGCTTCACACAAAATGGATCCAGGAAACACACATCAGAGACACTACAACACGTCCTGAGGAGAGGGACTCTGCCCTGGACAGCACAGACACCTCTGACAGCTGCCGGACAGACAGTGAGGAGACTGGAACCTCTCAGCCCACCAGGGCCTGCAAGCCCACCCAAGGCAGCAGCCCACAGCAGCGACAGCGACAGCGGGGCTCCAGGCCTCAGGGAGACCACAGGTGGTCCAGGAAGGCTGAGATGGAGCTGCCTGGTGGCCTTCAGGCCCAGCCTCACCTGTCTGGGGTTGATGATGTGGAGAGGGGAGATGAGGGAGAAGGAGGCAGAGGACACACTCACGAGGAGACTCCGTTTCTTCGAGAGGATGCTATCCCTAAGCCTCTCGTCCTGGAACTTAGGAGGACTTCCTTGGGATCCCAGAGGCCACCTGAAAAGTGCCTAGGAAGCCACCAGGCCCACTCTGAGGACTCCTGTGCTCCATGCAGGACAGCCTATGACATGACAGTGTCTTCCGAGCCAGGCAGACTGGACCAAGTTACAGAGAACCACAAGTCTCTAGAAATTGTCTCTGCTTCTTCCCTGCCGCAAGGCCATGCACAGCCTTCTGCCCCCACCCATCCCAGCAGCTAGCTGCTTCCCTCTCCCCTGAAGGCTGGGTGCCAACCCCTCCCTCTTCAAGGAAAACCACGTACCCCAAGTCTCACAGGAAGGTGGTCCGGACTGGACCCCACAGGCCAGGGGGTCAGGCAGAGCCTGTAGATAACACTCTGCCACTGCCTCCTCCAAGAACTGTGGTTCTCAGTCCACCCCAGACCCAGTTCTGCAGCTCCCAAGTTAGGCACCCACTGCCAGACTTGTCTGCTAACAACCACTCCCCTCTGGGGCTTCAGGAGTCCAGGGGAGCAGCTGCCCACAAGGGCAAGGTGGAGGGGAACCCCTGTGTCCAGGAGTCGGAACTGTCCCTGGAGAGCCATGGAGATGGTAAGAATTGCTCTTGGCCCCACTCAGGACAATAGCCACACACCACTGCCAGCAGCCCCGGGGACAGGTGTCAGGGAGCTGGTGGTTATGGACTAGATACAGGATTCATGCTGAGAACAGATTAGCCAATTTCCCCAGGAGAGGCAGGACCATTGGAAAGGTAGACATGACGCCCTCTTACTGCTGGTAACCCTGAGGAGTGTAGGGAAGTTTTAAGCTCCATGGCTGCTGGAGGCCTGGGTTTTATGGGAAATTGACTCCTGCAAAACAGGAAGAGGAATAGCTCTAGGATCTGTTGTTTGCTACAGTAGTAAATGCCACTAATCACATGGTGGGGGCCCTTCTCTCCAACATCTTCAGTCTGTGCCATGCACTCATCCTTTCAGTATTGCTCGAGCACCTGATACATGCCAGGTGTGCACTATCACTGTGAGGGACACATAAGTGAATTATGTCAACATGAGCCCTGCCCTTGAGGCTCTGTATGGCCAGACAGACATGCTGTCCAAAAGACAGCGACCAGTGGGCAGAGCTCCTTCAGGGAGGAGCTGCTCTCTCTCCTGAGCCCTCCCTGATCCTGCCCTGCTGGGCTGCTGGACGGTTCCAACACACACAAGACTGCTGGAAGGAGTAGGATAGGCACTCTTTGCTCTTGGAAGGGGACCTGATGTTGTGGGCAGAATCTGGGTGCCAGCAGACCCAGGCTCTGATCCCCACTGCTGCTCAGCTACTCATTCTTGGACATAGGTAACTTACCCATCCCACATCTTCTTCCTTTAATGCACCATGGCTCTGACTGCCTGGGGACTGGCATCCAGGCCTTGGAGGAGAAGGTAGAGGGATGACAGACCATAATGACCTTTGTGAGGATGTGGATGCGCCCCTAACTCCCACAACCATGTGCCCACCACACTGACTCTCCCTCCCTTGCTCATACAAACCTTGAGGCACAGGCCTCCCCTGAGGCCCGACCTGCCCTATGCTCCGACCTGCCCTATGCTCCGCTGTAGTTCCCTTCTCTTAGGTGGGCTCTAGCCTGATGGTTAGCTTGTTCCTAACCACTTCCTGCAGGACTTCTAGCCTGAAACCCAGTGACCTTTCTGGGCAGCTCAGGCCTGTGCCTCTTAAAGGCCTGGAGCAGAGAGTGAGGTGAGGCTCCTCTTATTAGCTGTGAGACCCTGGGTGAGTCACTTAGTCCCTCAGCACTCCATCTGTCCTCCACAAGTGAGGATAACAATGAAACCGGAGAGGTCATCTCTGCAGGGATTTAACTCATAGAGCTGTCCCCAAAGCCCTGGCTACTGTTAAAGCCATGAGAAATCGAGTTTGTTTTGTCTCCCAAGAATACAAACTTTTCCCCTGCTCCCAACTGTGTCCCTCGATACGATGGGCATGACTTATGACAAGCAACCCTGTCATTTAAACACTTACAAATCATCTACTGTATTCTAGGTACTGTTCTGGGTGATTGGGGTTCCAGCAGTCCGTAAGATCTGGTCGCTGTCCTCAAGTAGATTCCAGTTCAGAGGATACTCAGAGATTGACACTGGGCCCTGATTGACTAAGAGCTACTTCCCTGTACTCCATCATCCACTGCTCTCCTGGGGTCTCGTCACTGCCTCCACTGCTCTCCTGGGGCTCCCACTTTCTCCTGCCTCTGAGTCTGGGATCCCCCTTTCCCTGACTGTGACCTGTGGGGATGGTCAGCTGACTCAGGAGGGATGCTTGTGACTGTTGCAGGAGGACTCCCAGGCTCTGTTGGCTCAGCAGACATTGCCACAGTCAATTCCACAGGCATCACCCTCTCCCTGACCTTGGAGGAGCCAGAGTCTAGACAGGAACTGCAGGGAGGCCTCCAGAGGACTGAGTTCAGTTCTGGAGGACACATGCCACCCAGGTAAGTGACAAGAGCAGGAGCCTGGACCACAGAGGTGTTCTGAGTGGGGAAAGATCCCCTACTAGCATGACTAGTCTCACTACTCCCAAATCCTTGGAGGGTTCCTAGACCATGCTTGGCACCCCAACACCCCTTTCCAGTTCCTTTTATCTGATGGACCTGGTTATCTATTCACTGAAGTCCCAGTGTCCCACTGAGCACAGCATCCCTCAGGGTACTCTTAGGGGTTACCTGTTGGGAGGACCTGCTTCTGATCCTAGGCTTGTGAACAGCCAGACATGAGTAAACTCTTTCCCTTCTCTGCTTCAGCTGGATTGGGGTATGAGGTTTTGCCCTGGGAACCTCCTTGGGCTGACTTCAAAGCTGTGGTAAGCCTGGTGTTCTGGCCAGTCACCAATGCCCAACACCATGCCCAGTCACCAATGCAACTCAAAGCCTCCTGTACCACCCAGCCAGCTCCCCATTTTCAGCTCTGTGTACTTGCCAGAATTCCATGTCTGTTCGGCCAGTCCCTCCTGGACATCCCCCAGGGGATCAACACAAGCTGCTTCTTCCATGTTCCCTTCCCAGCAAAGGCAGCCACCACTGCTCACCCATTGCTCAGGCCCCAGACTGGCTCCTTCCACTCCTTCCCACTCCAGTCCACTGGCAGGCCCTCTCCAGCACCCACATGCCCCCTTACCACCATTCCTTCTGGTGTTAGCTGTGTTGCTTTTTCACTGTACGTCTCCAGGAGCCCCCTTTACTCTCTGCCTTCACTCTTGTCCCCTACATGTCATAGTCAAGGGCATCTTTTAAAAGCCTTAATTAAGTGGTGTCATTCTCCTGCTTAAAACCCTGCAATGGTTTTCCCTCTCACATGGAATGGAACTTAAACCCCTTACTGTGGCTATGTAATCTGCTCGGTCTGGTCTGCCTGTCTGATTGTATCTTGTGCCTCTGTCACCCTCTCTTATTACCTGGGTCTAAGCACTACGGCCTGGCCAAGCCTCCTCCTGCCTTGGCCCAGGCACCAGCTGCTCCCTGCACCTGCAGTTCTCACCTCTAGGCTTGGCAGCCTGGCTCCTGCTTATCATTTGGCCATCAGTTTAAAGACCATCTTCTCAGAGAGACACCTTTCCTGGCCACTATTTTAAACAAATGCTGGGTCACTTGCTGCTGCCCTCCACATTCCAGCCACCAATGGTTTTTCGCCTGGTTTATTGGTGTGTTGTTGATAAGCTCCTGAGAGCAAGGACCTTGTTTGTCCTCTATACCATGTACTCAGGGATGGCACACAGCAGGTTCTTAGAAATACTGAATGAGTAAATGAATGGGTGAATCCATCACTGTGTTTTATGGCAGGCACTTGTCTGAGCTATTCTCCCTGGAAGCAAAGCACCCAGAAGAGTCCATGTGGCCCCCTTTCTGCAGCCTGGTTTCAGTTTCTCCCATGAGGCATTGGTGCCAGCCCATCTGAGGCCCATAGGACTGTTACCTCACTACTTATACTCTCCTAGCTCCACTTCATGTCCACCCTTATGTTACAGAGGATCACCAGTGGCCAGGGAAGGGCCCAGGCCACCCTCAGCTGCCCCTTCTGATGGGAACAAGAAAAGAAGCAGCAGTATTGCCTCCGCCCTGGGGCTTAAAAAGCTCTTTTCAGCCCTGGGCCACACTTCCCGGCTCAAGCTGGCCAAGGCCTGCAGCTACACAGAGGAGCAGCAACAGCCTGAGGCACCTGGCCCAGCTTCACACAGCAGCACCCCCAAAGTGAAGAGAGCCCCATCGCTACAGTTCCTGCATCTGGTGAGTCCTCAGGGCCCACCCAAGGGGTCGTGAAGCCTGTGGTGATACAGCCAGTGGAAGAAGGATGAGAGGAGAAAGGCAGTGCTGAGGGTTTCTCCCAGGGGCTCCAGGTAGAGAAGGGGAAGCTGCTGCTGGCATCCCCACTGCTGGCCAATGAGACTTGGGTTCCCAGGACACAGGGTCAGCAGGCAATACCCCTCAGTTCTGTTCTTCCACCTAACCCAGGCCTGGGCTCATCCTAGACTCCTCCCTCTTTGGGCACCTCAACTTTGCCATCTCTACCAAGTCCTGGAGAATTCATGTGTGATCATTCTAGAATCTGCTCCATGGCCACAGCAACTCTCTTAGTCCAGGCATAAGTCATTTCACACCTGGACTACCTCAAGCAACTCTTGACTGGCCTTCTTGCCATGGTCATTCTCCTTATGGCTACTATAATAGTCTTTCTGATATGCAGGGGGTTATTGTTTTGTTTTGTTTGGTGGTCTCGGGTTTTGAACTCAGGGCCTCGTGCTTGCTAGATAGGTGCTCTACCACTTGAGCCACTCCACCAGCCTGGTCTTTCTGATATGCAACTCTGGCCATACCACTCCTTTGCAGGACAAAAGTCCTTGGTTACTTGTCATGTTCAGGATAAAGTTGGGGCCACTTAACATTGCCAGAAGGTTCTATGGTCTGTCTGCTTTCATCTCCCATGGTTCTCTGTTGAACACTCTTGATCCCAGGGATGGCAGACCTCCTTGAAGTTCTGCACTCAGATCTCACTGTCTGACCTAATCTTCACTTGAGGATTTCTCCCACCTTCTCCACCTACTGACGTCTGCTCCTCCATCAACGCCCCCTTTAGAAGCCATGCCAGTCCTTCCTCAGGCTGAGTGAGGGCCTCTGCTCTGCACTTCCCTCCTTTGTGGAACTTGTCATATAGCATTTCCATTGACTTTTGGCTCTCTCCCCTCACTGGAGTGTGATCATTATCCTCCCAACACCTATTACAGTATTACACTTGATACAATGTGCACTCAGTATGAACTGAATAAATGAGTGAGTGAGCAGGGCAGCTTGCTACAGTTCTCCCTTCTTCTGTGCCAGTCTTAGCAAACCAACTACAGCACACCAAGTCACCCAGGCCTCTGGAAACTGTTTTGTTCCAGCGATTTTCAGGAGTGTGTCTCTTCTGTTCTCTTCCCACTCCCACTCCACACCCTGGGTAGAATGAGGTTGATGACCCTGGTCAGAAGCATCAGAGCCTTCATTTCTCAGGCTGAGGGCTGAATGAAAGTCCCTGGCTTGCTTTCACCAAGAGTAATATTTAGAACATGGTTGGTATTCAGTAAATCTCTGCCAGCCAAACCAGTAGAAGGTGGAGAAGCAGAAGTAGGGGGCAAGCTGGGAGAAAGGCAGTGCAGTGACCTTGTGCTCTCGAAAGCTACTGTCTCGCGGAATCAGATTTGTGCAGTGTCTAAGCTGTGACTCACAGATTTATTGCCACCCAAGCTTCTATTGCCATAAGCTCATCAATGGAAGTGACACTGTTAGTGTCACAGAAAGGTTTATGGGCAGTTTAAGCTGAGTGAGTAAAGATAGTAAGCAGCTAGGCCAAGAAAGGGTAGGAGGAAGTGCAGGGAGGGCAGTGCAGCAGAAAGAAATTCTCAAGAACTCAAAAATGGAAGAAATTTTCAAGAAAAAAAAAAAAAGACCAAGGAATCTCTCTCACCCAGAAGTATTTATGACATGCCTCAGGGTGAGATACTTCCTGTTGGCATGTGGTGCTGCCACATGTTTGGTGAGGGGGGAGGCGGATGCTTCACTGGTTTGATTTTAATTTTGTTCATGAGTGGGCAGCTGGCAGCCCTCACACTAGACCACGCCAGCTGCTCCCACGTTCTCTCCTCTGTGGGCTGTGGCTCTCTTCCCGGGCTTTTGAGCCTGTGTCTGGAACCCCATTCTTCTTCCCCAAGAGACTCCTACCTGTCCTCCAGGTCTGAGTTCAATGAGGCTTCTCTCAGGAGGCCTTCTTGCGTTTGAAGTGGTCAAGCCCTGCTCTTAAGGCTTCTTGATAATATGCCTGCCTTCTTTAGAGCACTTCTTCATCCATTTGGGCTGCTGTAACAAAATACCATAGAACAGGTCACTAATACACAACAGAAATGTCTTTCCCACAGTTCTGGAAGCTGGGACTCCAAGGCCAAGGTGCCAGCATAGTTGGTGTCTGGTGAGGGTCCGCCTTCTCACAGACCTAACCTCACCAAGAAGAACGGGCAGGAATCTCTGCGGGAGGTGGGGGCTTCTTTCAGAAGACCAAATGAGGCTCTGCCTTCCTGACCTAATTACCTCCCAAAGGCTCCATCTCCTTAGAGATTAAGTTTTAACATGTGCATTTGGGAGAGGGAGGACACAAATATTCAGACCATAGCAGCATGGATTCCAAGTGTAATAAATAAGGTGTGTAATATTTGTTCTCTCTGCTTCGGTCTCTACACCCCCAGTCTCACCTTCAGAATCGCCCCCTATCGATTGGGTCATTCTTGAGACCACAGAACTGTCTTTGTCCCTCAGTAGCTGCTTAGCAGGGCATTTAGGTCCTTCAGGTCTGGCCTGTGTCTTAGGCCCATCTCCCACACTCTGCAGTCTGGCCACCCAGGCCACATGTATGTTCCAGAACATACCATTCTGTCTTTCATCTCTCCATGTCTTCACACATGCTATTTTTCTTTTGCCTGGAACACATGTACCTCTCTTTTCACCTGGACAGCATTTGCTTCCAGCTTCACCCAAGCGCCAACTCCTCCAGGGTCCCCAGACCGCCTGGCCAAAGTCTCTCTCTGCTTCCCACAGTCACCCTCGCTGTCAGTCCAGCACTTACTACGACTCATCAACTTACTTGGCTCATTCCCACCCTAGCGTTTTGTGAACACCTCAAGGAATTTTCTACTTACCTTGCTTTTTATGCATGATGCTTTGAGGTGCATACTCAGATAAAAAGTTTTGAGCAAAAGTGAGCAAAGTGTACTAAAATTATATTTATTATTCTATGATTAGTTTGCTTATACTTCTTAATCAATGAAAAAGTTGATTTTCTTTTTTGAGACAGGGTCTTGCCTTATAGCTTGAACTCATGATCTCAGTCTCCTGAGTCCTGGCTAGATTTTCTAAATCAATGAGATAAGTTGTATTATAATGCTAAATTGTTACTTCAACTGAAGAAAAGAACCTGACACTTCGGATGACCTGTGTAGTTCCATCTCCTGACAAGTGTTAGAGACTCTTGCTGTGGATTTGGATGTGGTGACCAAAGCCTACATTACCACTTCTCTCGAAGAGCCTTCTGGTTCATGATTGAGGCAAGTCCTCTGTCAACATCTTCCCAGGTGACTTTTCTTACCTGCAATACTGTGGCTTTCCCACCAGGTGTCATCCTCCCACCAACATCGGAAAGCTGCCTCCTTTCAGAACCTCCATGCTCTGCTGAGCGGCAAAGGGGACAGGTCCAGCCTCTACCTCGTAGAGGAGCCAGGGAACCCCAGTGCACCTGGCAGGTAAGTACAGGCACAAATGGTAGGACGGATAAACTCAGAGTGGCCAGAGGAGATTAAAACTCCTTTCACCTCAGCATCCTGGCCCTGTCTGTGCAGGGAAAGGTAGTACAGGAGCCTCAGAGTGTCCGTCTCTCAGTGCCTTGTTCTGTGCAGGTGAGCACCCATATGTGGGGTGCCATATGAGTAAAGCTGGCACGTGTGATACTCCCCCCACACTTTTCTGTCTGATGACATGTTAAAAATTAATGTTCAGAGAGTTTCCTCAGCCCGGCTAAAGATCTGATTAAGCACCCAGAAACAAGGACTCCCCAAAGAGACCCTTGACCCATGACCTCTCTGCAGAGGCCCTCTTGACTAGCTGCTCTTACCCAAGTCCATCTGCTCTGTGGATGGACTTCAAGAGGTCAGTTAACTCCTGAATATGTTACAAGAAATTACAGCTTTCCTAAAACTCCCAAGGTCTCTACCTAAAAACGTAGAAACCATTGCTCTTGGTGATGGGGGAGGAGGGCTTACCAGTTTTGTAGCAGATCTGGAGGAGCCTGGGGCAGATGTGGGACCCCTCCCATCTCCACCTCCCTCAGGATGTTTGTTTTGCTAGTTGGGCGTCAGAGGAATCCCAACCTCCATGTCATATTCTTTAGTCTGAGAGGCATCTGTCATCTCAAAGCCAGGGAAGAGCTGGCCCCAGTGCCCAAATCTCTTGACCTCACTGTGTCTCTGGTCCCCTTGCAGGCCAGCCAAGGCCCCTCCCCGGCGTGCCCTCAGTGTGGAGGATGTGGGTGTCCCCAGCCTGGCTCGCACGGTGGGCCGTGTGCAGAGGTGTTCCCAGATGGCACGAGCCAGTTGCAGCTGCAGCGCCCCCCAGAGGGCACTTTTGGCTTCTGTGTGGCTTACGGGAATGGGCGCAGGGACTCAGGTATGCCCTCCCCTTCCTCAGCAAACTCCGGCAATGCCTCTGGGCTGAAGTCTGTTCGTTCTGGTCATTGGCTGAGTGGAAGGACTGCCTTCTCTTCTTATCCTCCTCTGGGAGCACTTCCTAGGTCTCAGGTCCCCAGGAGCCCACACCTGCAGTGACTTTTTGCTCCAGCAACTGCAGTTCTGGTGGTGTGGGATGCTGGGGGGATAGGACTGGCAGGTTGACTCCAATGTCTCCCCTTGCTGCCTGATGACATGTTGAATTCAGAATCTTGAAGGCCATCTTTTCTAAGGAGAGGCAGAGGGAAATTGTCTGTGCTTGCCAGGTCTCAGCTATCCCTTTGATGTGGTCGATGTGTTGCAATGACTCCTTCCTCCAGCTGCAGGTCTGTCTGGGCATGTGGAGTATGCCTGCCTGTCTGTGCAGCCTGGGCCACGGCCCTCCCTCAACCGGTTCCTGAGGTTGTGTTCAGTTGGATCCTGGCTCCAGGCCCCAGGCTGGGTTGCCTGCTGTGTCTTGATTCAGCACTGGCAGGGCAGTGAGGAGCTCTTGACCTCATTTGGCACTCCTGCCAGTTCTCAGTCCTGCCCTGTCTATGAGTCCTTTAGTCAAGGTCTGTGGTCTTGAATGCATACAAGGACAAGGGACCCTAAAGATATTCCCTGGATAAGAGTGCACAGGGAAGGAAGACCAGTGGGTATGCTGGGGGAGGGAAGGAGAGCAGAGGGAGGGAGAGGAGTCACAGGAAGACTCACTCAGAAGCCTGTGTGGCCAGGCTCTATGGAGAAGAGCTTAGTCCTGTGCCTTCTCTCTGAGGCCAAGGTTGTTGTTTAGCCTGGAAAAATCCTGCCTGCTGTCATGTTTGCTGAACACAGCATGAATCCTCAAGTCTGTCCCACTTTTCACTGTTTCGGCAAACGTATATTGAGCATCTACTAAGTGCTGTAGATATTGGGGGTTACAGCAGTACACGGATAAGAGCATGCCTTCCCCTGAGCATGCTAGGCTAGCCTTACGACGTGTTAACCTTATATATTATCTATTATATATGTGAGATAGTGAAAGGAAAAGTACTAAAAAACAAACGCAAATAAAGCAAGCATGACGGATAATATAGACAAGCTTTTTTGAGCTGACACTTGAGCAGAGATGGAGGCGTAGTATGTGTGATGCGGGAAGTGTTCCAAGCAGAGGGAATAGCAAGGGCAAAGGCCCTGGGAGGGAAATGAGCTTGGCTCACTGGAGGAACTACATGGAGGTCGGGCAGGGAGCCAAGCTCAGAAAGGTGGTGGGCTGTGTTGTTCTCAGGGGTTTGGTGTTCTCACTGAGTGATTCGGGAAGGCTTACAGCAGAGGAGTGACACTCTTCTCATTTACACTTAAACAAAGCTGCTGTGCTGAGAATACACAGGGGGATAAAGGTGGAACCAGGGAGAACAGTTCTAAAGCTATTTCCATAGTCCAGGAGAGATGACGGTGGCCTGAACAGGGAAGGGGGTGGATTATGCCTGATCTGCAGGTAGCTTTGACTGAGCTTACCAATGGGCTGGAGATGAGTGTGAGAGGGAGGCAGTTCTCCCTGGTCTTGTCAGTGCTCACAGGGAGGTGATGTTTGTGAACACAGGCTGAGCATCGCTTCTGCCTCTTCCTGTAGCCTCCTCTCTGCAGGTAAGGTCAGCCTGGCCCTTGGAGACAGGGCCTCTGGAGTCAGACAGGAAGAGACAGCAGTGTGTCTCTGCTGGCTGGATGACCTTGAGCAGGGGACTTACCCACTCTGAGCCTCAGTTCTCTTGTCTGTGGAATGGGCATAATAATACCAACCTGGAAGTCAGAGGAGTGTTTGATAAGGATCAGAGGATGATGCCCCAAGCTTTTCTTCTCTAATCAGAAAGACATACATTCATCTGTGGACCACTTCCCTCTAAATCCCTTTGGGCCCCTTTGTAGGCTGTGGAGCCCTCCCACCTGTCATGGATCTCTGATGAGCAGGGTCTCTAATGACCAAAGGCTCCTTGGGCTCTGTCCTAGCTCTGCTCCCCCTGCCCAGGTGGAGCCCTGCTCCTGCTACTGCAGCTGGCTGCTGGATGTCACTCAGAGCTCCCCACACACACACAGAGCATGGCAGGTGTTGGAATTCCTTACCACAGGCCCTCTTCCAACAGCCAAGGGTCACTTCTGGGCCTCAGATGGGCTGGTCTAGGACTGGGCTGGCCCCTTGCTAAAACATCAGGATCTGGGTACCTGTCGGGCTTGTCAGCTCTCACATCTAGTGAGAACAGCAGACTTTTCTTTCTGCTTGGCTTACCCAGAGATTGCACACACTTAACAAAGGCCATCTCCAGCAGACAATAAACGCCTACAAGAGCAGTCCCACTGTCATACTTTGGTCATGACTTTCAGCTGGGAAACCTACCCAAGTCTCCCCAAAATGGCTGGAGTGATGTCAGTGTCTGGTTTGGCTCAGCTGCATTCTTTTGGGTTTTATCATCACTCCCACCTGCCTTTTCTGCTGCACAGCAGACTCCAGGGGCCCTCACTGCCTTCTCCCTATGCTACCAGCATGTAGGCTAGGGAGACAGGCTGCTGGAACATGAGAGTGAGGAGGAAAAGATAAGGCAAGGGCCTAAGCGAAGGAGCTTCATGCAGCCAGGGAGGCAGACAGGCTTGGTCAGGGGAAGACAGTCTTGCTGAGAAGACTCAGCTTGGCCACAGAGGAAAGGCAGTTCTACTCCTTAGACTGGGGCACACACAGCCAGATTTGCCAAATAGCTACAAACCTTCAGGCACCTCAGCAAAGGAGGACTCTAAGTCCAGAGCAGGGCTCAGAAAAGCCTGGCTTCTGTCAGGACCACAGGCTGAGCTGAATGGGGCTGCTCAAGGCCAGGTGGGCCAGAATAGGACTGCTCACCAATCCAAGATGCTAGTAGTGCTTCCTAGCCAGAGATGGAGGCACCAGAGCAGAAGCCTTTCCAGACCTGGTAAGCACCTGATTTAGGAAAAGGAAGTGGAGACAGTAATGTGTGGACAGCTGCTTCAGCCTTCTCAGCCAGCCGGGCCTGAGCTGGGTGGCAGGGAGGGAAACAAGGCTGTGCCAAGCTGTTCCTGAGAATTCCAGTCACGGTCGCCACATGAAGGTCATCCACAAAGGTCCCCCCACTCCCACCCCCACCCGCTGTGGTCCTCCACAAGTGCTCTGTGTTTTCAGACCGCGTGTTCACTCAGCAGTGGCAGCAGGGCTCCACTAGCCCAGGAAGCGCCTGCACCTCCTTTACTGTCTTGGGGAGCAGCTGATTCCTCAGCTGGATGGGCCTGTGCTGCATGGCCAGCAGAGGCCAGGGGAAGCTAGCCCTGAGCTCCAGAACCTGCCATGCAATGCGGGCTCCCTGAGAGCCAGCTGAGGGAAAGACACAGAGAAATGCCCCCACCTCCCACCCAAGGACGCTCAGCACCTTCTAGACCCAGGAAATGATCTACTGGCCAGGCAGGGTCTCTTTGGGGAGGTGAGAGACATAGGGATGTGTTTAAAAAAAAAAAAAAAGGAGAGTGAGAGATAGGTGGCTGGAATTTTTTTATTTTTCCTGGATTTTGGCCCAGATGCTTCCAGTCCCACGTGAGGAACCAGATGTGGCTAAGATTGAGGCAGGGCCAGTCCTGCACAATATTGGGATGCAAATGATTTGGCCTCAACCACTTCTACTACTGCAATGTTCCCCCCCACACACTCTGGCCTTTTTGCTGGGCCTGGGCCACTTGGAGCAGCACCTGGATGTATTTATGAGTCTTGCCTTGTATGGTGCCAGGCACCTAGCAGGCATTCTGCTTCATTTAAAAAACAAAACATTTTTCTCTCTATGCTAAAAAAAAACCTCATCTCAGAAGGAGACGTGATTGGCTTATTGACACTAGGGTGTAGATGAATAACATCTTTAAGCATTATTTGTACTGGGGCATTTCCTTTTTAAAAGAAGACACAGAAATGAGGTTATGCCATGGAGGAGGCACCATGTCACTATCTAAAGCCAATTGTGAGGTGCAGTGAGAAGTTGTATGTGTGGCCATGCTCTGAGTGTACCTGTGCTCCCCTTTCCACAGTCACCCACCAGCAGCTTGAGGAGTGGCAGGCTCTGACATAGCTCTCATGCTGCCTTCTCCTCCTTCCCTTTGCAGGGCTCTACGTGCAAGAGATGGCTGACCTGGACACTGCCAAGCTGTACTCAGGGCTGCTTGGGGTGGGGGACGAGATCCTTGAGGTGAATGGGACCAAGGTGGCTGGGCTGGGCTTGGTTCACATCCAAGACCTCCTGGCCCACTCAGAGAGCTTGTCAATCCGTGTCCTGAGGCAGAGGCCTGTCCCTCAGTGACCCAGAGAGGTGCTCCCCTTATTGACCACCTGGGGTGTGGTTGGGAAAGCACTGCTTGGAGCTGTTTTGTGGATCAAAAACCCAGCTTAGGGTGGCATCCAGCCCCTTGGGCTGTGGCAGGCCTGCTGAGATAGACCACCTTAGGGAGAAGCAAGGTGCCTATGTGTATATTTCATTAAGGCCGTTAATTTAAGTAGAACTGGGGGAAAAAAAATACTATTGGTCTCATCCATAACCTGGGTGGTGGCAACATGGATTTGCCCCTTTGTCGGCTGGGGGGAGGAGAAAAATTCATACCTTCTGAAAAGACTCTCCAGCCTCCAACTCTCTAGAACCAGACACTGGCCACATTGGTCCCTTTCAGCCACATCTCCCCTCCCTCCCATATGCCACCTTTGCTCCTAATCCAGAAAGGGACAGTGTGCTGGAATCACACAGCCTTACAGCCAGGGAGCAAATATTCCAAACCAAACATTAATCAGAACATGTGATTCAGTAGAGTTGTATGACTCTTCTGGGAGTGAGAACATCTGAGTGCACCTTCCTCCCCTTTCCACAGTCACCCACCAGCAGCTTGAGGAGTGGCAGGCTCTGACATAGGTCTCATGCTGCCTTCTCCTCCTTCTGATTATTAGAATTTTAATAATCAGATTAAATATTATTAAGAATTTCTAGGAAATTTTATGATATGTAAAGTTGAAAGGAAAAAAAAAAGAAACCACAGCCAACTTCAGGGAAGTGCAGCTGAGGTAGACAGGATCCAGCCGGTGGGAGGCCAGCCTAACTCAGCCCTCTGCCTCTGCCCCATGGAGGCTGGAGCTGCCACAGCCTGGCCTGGAGGGCCTCATCTTTGTTCTCCTGTCCAGCATGGAGACAGGGCTGCAGCTGGTGTCTGGCTGTCACCCAGCTGCAGATTCCTATCCAGACCTCCCTAGTGGCAGCTGTGGGTGGGCGGGCAGGCAGCAGGGAGGCCACAGAGAGAAGGGATGGCCATCCTGCCTGGGTACTTCCTGCTCTGGGCTTGGGCACTCCCCAGAGGGTTGGAACTCTCTTACAAGTGCATGGCTATGTGTCAGTCTTAAATTATTAAAATGTAAGGTTGAAGCGTCTCTTACTCCGAGTTGCTGAAGTCTGTGCTCACTTGACCTTCACTAGCCCTTCACTAGCCCTCAGAGGACCAGGACGGGGCAAGGGTTGAGAGCGGACAGGTGGGGGCACAGGGCATGCCAGAGGAGAAGGCTGAGGAAAGGTAATGGGGAAATCCAGCCTGTGGGGTATGGGGGGTGTGTGGTTCTTCTAGTCTTCACAGCAGGAGCATTAAAACCCCTCTGCTATTGGCCGAGAGGCTGGGGTGAGAGTGAGGGGTCTGTAGGAGGGGGATGAGGTGGGTTGCCTTGGGCAGGTGGGCAGAGGAGTTGGAGAAACAATGCTTGGGGCTTCAGGCTGCAAAGTAAACACTGGGACACCTCAGAGACAAGTCTAGGCACCCCCCCCACCAATGTGTAGAAACAGCCCCATGGCAGAAAACTAGAAGCATAGGGGAAATCGTGGCAGCTCCTGCACCCTAGTTCCTAGCTAGCCTTGAGGGCATGAAACTGTAGAGATTTCACCTTGAGAAAAGCTTCAAGGGCAAAAAGCACCTTCTGTTTTCTCTGTAAGGCAAGGGCTACTTGCCTCCTGCTGGGAAGAAGTGAAGTAGGGGGCTGAGGCTGGGCAAGGGCAAGAAAAGGCCTCAGAAGCAGGAGCTTCTGTAGCTATGGCCTGCCAGGTGCTGGTCAGGCCCTTAACATACCTTGTGTAGTCCTTCCATGTATATCCTGCTTACTGTCTTCATTTTACAGAGATGGGGAACCAGGTTCAGTGACAATGACAGGACACTCCAACTCCTGTGACTCAGGGTCTGTTCATCCCACTGAAGCATCCTGCACCTACGTTCAGGAAGAGGGAAGGGCACCCAGGGCAGTGGAGACTCCCCAGACTCTGGCCAGGGATCTGAGGCACCTTTGTTGGCCTCTGGTCCCCCCCGAGTGGAAGGCGGTGCTGGGGGCCCTGGCTTCTGTGCAGGGGCTGCAGTTTCTCCAGCCGCATGTCTCACCTCTACTACCTATTCTGTCTGGGGAAACTGCTGACCTAGAAGGCCTAGCCCATCAGAACCTACTGCTTCTTATACCGGACCACATACAGGACCTCAAAACCTTCCCAGAACTTGGTTTATTACCAAGAACCAGGTCCTGTGCAGGCAGGAGGGTGCTCAACACACACAGTTTAGGTGTGGGGAGCCTGGGGGAGGCTTTGGTGATTACAGGAGGAAGTGGGGGCGCCTAGCAGGACTTGGTGAAGTAAGTGGGAAGTGACAAGGACTGAGGCACAGAAAATAAACAGCATGTGCATAGGTGTAGGTTTCGCCTGTAAAACCTATGACTTTCCTGCCACTCACAGAAGGCACCTGACATTGGGTCCACATGCAACAGAAACAGGCATCAACTCTGGCTTTCGGACATGTCAATCTCTGGGATGGGTGGGGGTAATTTCAGAGGTCACCAGATGAAGCGTGGCCGAGTAGCTCAGATGCTGCTTTCTACCTCTCTCCTTAGGGATACCTCTCCTCGATTGCTGGCGGGAGGTGACAGCGTGTCCCTTGGACCCAGGCACCCCAGGCTCTGTGTTTCCTGGAAAGGGAGGGTGAGGTCCGGCGCGGGCGCTGGAACCAGGAGGTGACCGCACAGGCCGTAGTCTTGTCCCACCCTAGGCAAATTTGCTGCAAAGCTCATGCAGCTTACAAGTCTGAACCGCAGGATGGGGTGCATGCCGGGTGAGGGTGGGATGCCCTTGCCGGCCCGCACAGGGCACAAGGCCTGGTTGGTCCTCTTGGCAGGGTCCGGCTGCAGGCAGGAGGTCCGGCTGCGGGCAGGAGGTTCGCCCGCCACCCTGTGGGTGCCTCCGCGCGAACGGACGGGTGGGAGAGGGGCGCCGGGCACATCGCACTGCCTCGGGGGTCCCAAGGCCACTTCCCCGAGGCGGGATCTGGTCACAGGCTGGTTAGAAAGTCAGGAGACCCGGAGCCTGAGGTCGGACCGAGGTTGCAGGCCACCCGCCCCCGCACACACAAGCGCACGCAGCCCCGCGTAGAGGCTGGGATGAAGACCACATTCATTTTGCCCAGGAGGAACGCGGTTTGGGGCGAGGGAGGGGCAGGGCTGCAGGACATGTTGGCGGTGCCTTGCGGCAAGGTATGGGAGGCGGTGCACCGGAGGACGTGCTACAGCTGACCCAGGGTCATGAAGATTAATGGGGCATATTCTGGGGCCCGCGCGCTCAATGCATGCAATGTCCCCAGATCTCAGGCAACATGGGGAGCATGGGGAACCGCGGGCACGGCCAAATTTTGAAAACCAAAGTTAACCTGACAATTCGTGACATGCAGTCGCTTTGCTGCCCTTGCGCTGTTCACCTGCTCTGCGTATACTCCTTGTTATCCTTGGGGACGCAATCCTGAATCTCTGAGGGGCACTACTCTACTAATGACCTGTTTGCATGTGCTGAGTCTGAGGCGCAAACGTTAAATCACTTAACCAAGGTCACAACAGCAAGCAATGTTAGAGACAGGATTCAAACCGAGTCTGCAACTCCCAGCCTGCGTCCTCCCACTTTCCTGGGCCCCTCTGCACCTGGCTTACCCGGGGGCCTCAGGTGGCTACCTGACCATCACCAAGCAATGGGGTCAGGGGGCCATTTTTATCTTCTGGAAGTGAGGTCCAAGTTCCCAACTAATGGCACGGCAGACTGCTTTACATGGCAGTGTTTCCAACCCACTTGTGGGTTGTAAAAACAGTGTTGTGAGTTGAGACTAAGCATTTGAAAGAGGGGAGGAGTGCAACTGAGTGACTTCATAAGCATAGGTTCTCAGTCACCTTAGATTGAGCTGGTGGGGGCTGATGAAACCTGGGCCTAGTCCCTTAGGAAAGACATCCTTGATCCTAAGATCCCAATCACCAAGAAGCCTGAGAACCCAGAAGAGGGTGCAATGACATGACTGTGGACCTCCTGTCCCTCCGAACCGGTCCCAGGGCAGAGGGATTCCCATATAGGTATTTTGGGCAGATGCTTTGGTTGTTAGCTGCCCATCTCCCAGACCCCAACTCCAGGCATTCATTCACCCACTCATTCCCTATGCTTATCCATGGGTCTTTGCCTTTCCCCTTGTCCACTGCATACCCACCCCCTGCCTAGCAGCCTTTGCAAGGATTGGAGGTGCCTGTCTTAGGGAACAGCCCATGATTGGAGGTGCCTGTCTTAGGGAGCATCCCATGACATCTGCATGCTGATTTTGGCCCCTCCCCTGAGCTCCCACAGAATCTTGTACCAACAGCCCTGTCAAGACCCTTCACATGGAATTGCTTGTTTATCCTCCATCAAATTTACCTAGCAACAACTGCACCATTCTAGTGCATCTGCCCAACCCATTTCCCACCCCCAAACCCCAGGCTAATTCTGGAGTGATTCAAAAGGCCCTGCTGTCACAAAATCCTCTCCCTGCTTTCCTCCCTCCCCACCATCTTCTGTGAAGTTTCTTTTTCCTATGAAGCCAGAGCACCTGCTTAGAAATGGCAACAACCTTCCTTGGCAAGTAGCTCTGCCCAGCTCTCTCAGTCTGTGCATTTGGACAGGTCGAAGTGCTGGGCCCCGAGGAAGGGAGCTGCTGAGACTGGCTCAGACACTGTGCCCATGGAGCCAGGGTTTAACAGCTGCCCTGCCAGTCCTGGAGAGTAGCTGGGGCTTTCCTGTGGATGCTTGGCTGCCCACTGGGCCTGCCTTTGTCTTCTCCTTCTGCAGTCTGGGCTCAGGCCCCTAGTCACAGTGTGGAGCTGCCCTTAGGACTATGGCCAGGTGCCAAGCACTGGGGAGAGGCCTGCTCTGTCCTTGGGGGTACCCCAAAACAGAGACAGCTATACCTTTGTCATCTTGAGCACCTCAGAGTTTTTCTGAGTTCACAGGATACAGGGTTTACTTTTAGCCAAATAAAAGCTCCAAAACATCTTACCAGTGAAGCTGACCTGTCTGATATCCTGGACTAGATTTCTTGATTCTACAATGGGTTTGAGACATGGCCAGGTCCAAGGCCAACTGCTGTCCATACTTTCTCTTAGGCACTTTTAGCTCAATGCTGTAACCCACCACTAACTTGCACAGCTATTTTGATGCCTCTTTCCTCTCTTCAGCTTTGTGCTGTTTTTCAGGTTAAAGGAACACTTCAGTGAAACATCTGTTTGCCAACACTGAAACTGGAAGGACATCCTTTTTTCTCTTAAAGGTGGCCTTGTATAGTCAAGTTAGACATGGGTTCCAATTCTGATTCTCCCCCTTTATTAGTTGTGTCTTTGGGCAAATTTCTTTTTTGTGGGGGGTAGGGCAGTACTTGTGTATGAACTCAGGGCCTCACGCTTGCTAGGCTGGTGCTCTACTGGCGTGGCAGATTTCTTAATGCTTCATGCTTTATTTTTTAGGCATAAAAGGGATCTAAGCAGTATTTCCCACATGGGTGTTGAGAATTAAGATGAAAACTATTTTACTTCCTACAGCCTTTGTTTAAGACCTGCCAGAACATTAAGTTTTCATAAAATACTTGCTAGAAGAATATGCTATTTAGATGCAAACTTTGGGAAACTAAAAGAACTCTTCCCATAGGTTAGCACTTCAATACGGGAACAAAGGAAGATTCTCTTTTGTTCTCTCTGTTCCCCTACACTCCTTATCCCAAGGGAAACCCTGTTCTGTGAACTATTTTGTATATTATTTTATTGTAAGTTTGCACTTTTAAGAATTCATGTAGCTGGCAAGGGTGTGGTAGCTCATGCCTATAATTCCAGCTAAGTGGGAGGTTGGACCCAGGGGAAAAATGTGCCAGACACTATCTAAAAAATAACTTAAGAGCTAAAACTCTGGGAGTGTGGCTCAAGTGGCAGAATGACTGTCTAGGAAGCATGAAGCCCTGAGTTTAAAACCCCAGTACTGCCAAATGAATAAATAATTCATGTAGATTGCAGAGAGAAAGCACAATATTCATAATTCTGATATTCTAGCACCTGTCAACTTTCCCTTCTCCAGGCAGATACATGTCACTGTAGGGGTGGAATAAGAGAGTGATCTGTGCTTAAGTGTGAAAAAAAGGAAAGAAAGAAACAAACACCAATGACAAAATACCCACAACAAAGTTCCTGGTCTCTCCATGTCTGTTTAATACTGAACAGAATGCTTTTATACAGTTGTAACATGATTTCAAGAGCAGAAGTAAGAAACATTACTGATAGACTTCAGGGTGTAAAAATATCACTTTTGAGGATGGCTAGTTGAGGGTGCTTTGTTTACACAAGTATTTTTTTTTTTAATTCTCAAGTTTATGGTGTCATCAAATATTAGGATTACAAGCAAAGCCTTAAATGCCATTTTACCTTGCAGGGATGTTTTCCTGTAGCTTTGCAGCAGTGGTTCTCAAACTTCAACGTTCATCAGAACCCCAGTGGATTTGCTAAGACAGAGCTGGCCTCACCCCGCCCCCCACCCCTTGCCAATTTGGTAGGTCTAGGGAGGGGCCAGAAAAGATGCATTTCTAACAAGTTCCTAGGAAATGCTGTGGCTACCACTAGTCTCACACTACCCCTGGAGAGTCACATGTAAAGGAAACAGAAGTCAACCTGTGGTCAAGGGCAAAGGTAAACTTGTGGCCCCAAGGGTCAGGCTGATTCTCACCATGTGGAGGGGAAGTGCCACTGGAAACTACCCAAGTTTTACAGTTCTAATCCCGACCCTCACCAAAGTGCACCTCCCAGTTATTTAAAATTAAAATGCAATGAAGTTATTTATCCTGGGAAAAATATAGAACAGTTTATCCCTGCTGAGTTTTGCCATGTGTTATATATCCTGTTTCTAAATTATACTAATTTCTGATTGTAGAGAAGCCAGGGTTCCACTCAAAAACTGAAGTCATTGTCCTTTACAGCATGGCTCTTTTGCCCTTCCTGAGATGACTTCTAGGTCACCTCTTGTGCCTCTTTGTGAAGAGCTGAGCCCAGTGTGGGCCAGTTATGAAGTAATTACAGAAGCTTAAGAACACTTTCAGGGGCTGCAGTATAGCTCAGAGATAAGAGTGTGTGCTTTAGTACAACCACTCTGGAAAAAAATTTGGAGGCTACTTAAAAAGCTAAACATTGATCTACAATTTGATCCAGCAATACCACTCTTGGGGATATACCCAAAAGACTGTGACAAAGGTTACTCCAGAGGCACCTGCACACCCTTGTTTATTGTAGCACTATTCACAATAGTCGTTATGGAAACAGCCAAGATGCCCCACCACTGACGAATGGATTAAGAAAATGTGGTATCTATACACAATGGAATTTTATGCAGCCATGAAAAAGAACGAAATGTTATCATTCACTGGTAAATGGATGGAATTGGAGAACATCATTCTGAGTGAGGTTAGCCTGGCTCAAAAAACCAAAAATCGTATGTTCTCTCTCATGTGGACATTAGATCAAGGGCAAACACAACAAGGGGACTGGACTTTGAGCACATGATAAAAGCTAGAGCACACAAGGGAGGGGTGAGGATAGGTAAGACACCTAAAAAATTAGCTAGCATTTGTTGCCCTCAACGCAGAGAAACTAAAGCAGATACCTTAAAAGCAACTGAGGCCAATAGAAGAAGGGGACCAGGAACTAGAGAAAAGGTTAGATCAAAAAGAATTAACCTAGAAGGTAACACACATACACAGGAAATTAATGTGAGTCAACTCCCTGTATAGCTATCCTTATCTCAACCAGCAAAAACCCTTGTTCCTTCCTATTATTGCTTATACTTTCTCTTCAACAAAATTAGAGATAAGGGCAAAATAGTTTCTTCTGGGTATCGAGGGGTGAGGGGGAAAGGGAGGGGGCAGAGTGGGTGGTAAGGGAGGGGGAAGGGGCAGGGGGGAGAAATGACCCAAACCTTGTATGCACATATGAATAATAAAACAATAAAAAAAAAAAGAGTGTGTGCTTAGCATGATGCTCTGGGTTCAACCCCAGAACTGCAAAAAAGAAAAAAGAAAGGTAGTCCTATAATCTTGTCAGTGGGACCCCTGGCTGTCCTCTCCTCACCCCACCAGATGGCAGGGTATATACATTCTTCCAAGGACAAACCTCAGCTGCAGGGTGACACTTGCTGTTCATGAGTAGGGTGTCAGTTGAATTTACTTTCTGCTGAGCTGGAAAGAACAGCTCTGACCTTGGTCCTACCCCAGGACTGAAGAAAATCTTAGCTGGAAACAGTTACTGGGCTGCCACCAGAACTTTGGTCAGCAAACAGTGAAGCTGAGTGACCTTAATTCTACTATCCCACTAAAACCCAAGGTTTGATAACTCATAACCTTCCTTAAAAACTGGTAAAATATACTTTCTCATGAAGGTCTGGCTGCCCTGGGCTGGCAGAGTGGCTGAAATGATACAGCTCCTGCCTAACAAGCATGAGACCCTGAGTTCAAATCAAACCCTAGTACCAGAAAAAGAAAAACAAAATAAAACCGTTGAAAAGGTTTGGCTGAAATTGGCAAACCAGATACCTGCAATGTTCTCATGAAACCCACACAGCAGGGCAGGCACAGTTAGCATCTACACAGCCATAGGAAGGACATCTGTGGACAAAGGTCACATCAGAAGGAAAACAGCACCAACATGTTAAGTTCATAGCAGAGGGAAACCAAATTCTTTTCTTTTTCAGCCCTCCCCAGACAGCAGAGTTAGAAAAGAGACTATAATACATAAAGAACTTCCAAGTGTATCTAGCTAGCAACAGCCTCACAAAGGTACCATGTAATTCTCAGAGCCTCAGTGTTAAGCCAAAAGGCAAGAAGCATCACAAAGCTGTGGTGAGGAACTAAGCACAAGTTAGTCTCAGTCTACTTTAGGTTCCGTCAAGGAGGTCAGCTTTAAGGGCCTTAACTTGTCCTACAAAGTGTGTGGCTCCCAATGCAGGGCAGGCAAGCTGCAACTGTCTCCTAACAAGAGGATGGCACGTATGTTCCTCTGAGCCTACCATCAAGATGACAACCAGAGACCTGCTCTTTTGGAGTTTCACCCTGCCCTGGGTCATCAAGTGCCAGGCTCAGTCATGAGACTCACAGCAGTGCTGTTCTGGTCACCAGGGTGGTTCTACTACACTCCCAGCTCACCTGCTTTTCTGGATTCAATACCAGAGCATTTCCCAGTAAACAAGTGACAGTGGCATCCACATTTACATACAACAGACCAATGTGGCCCTTGTAAAAATAAGACCATTTTGGGTGTCAGCATATTTTTTGAAGGATGGGAATTGAGTAAGGACAGCTGGATGTGTAAGAAAGACCACTTTCTCCTATCAGGCCAGCTAGGTTAACTAACCTTCCCCTACCTGAAGCAAAGGTCCTGGGAGTAAGTTGCTGGGTCTCCAGAGAGTTCTCTCTTCAGGAACTGATGGTATCAGGAAGGGTGCCTCATGACAAAGAGGATGATACATTTGGGAACCTTTTGGTTTCATCTTCTCTCCACTTTTTTTTTTTTTGTGGGGGGGATGGGAGTGTTGAACTCAGGGCTTCCCACTTGCCAAGCAGGTGCTCTATCACTTGAGCTACACCTCCGGCCCTTTGTGTTCTGATTACTTTGGAGATAGGATCTTGCTTTTTGCTCAGGCTGGCCTAGACAGTGATCTTCCTATTTTAGGTTTCCTGCTGTTGCTGGGATAACAGGCATGCACCATCATACTCAGGGTTTTTTTGTTTTGTTTTGTTTTGTTTTTTCTGAGATGGTATCTTGCAAATATTTTTGCCTGGGCTGGCATGGAATTGCAATCCTCCCAGTCTCAGCCTCTGGAGTAGGTTGGGATGACAGGTGTATACCACAATACCCAATTATAGGTTGAGATGGGGGTCTCGCAAACTATTTTCCTGGGCTGGCCTTGAACTCCAACCATTCTATCTCAGCCTCCAAGTTAGGTAGGATTAAAGATGTTAGCCACTGGTGCCTGCCTTTCTCTTCACTCTTCATGAGCAAATAACAGTCTTTTAAGAATTATTCTTAAAAACTTGAGAGGGAAGGATATGCCAGGGAGAGGAAGCCAAAGGGAAAATGAAGTTGTGCATTCCGTATTTTAGGACTTGCTTTCTAGATAGCCCATTTTTGTTTTGTTTACAAATTTACCTTGTAGTACAAGGTGAACCCAAGCAGTACTAAGTGACAGAGTTGAAATGCAACTCTTATTTATCATTCAGTTTTTTGTTCTTCAAATGCTATGAATTCTTTAAAAAGGCAATAGGGAATAGATGTCCCTCTGGTCTCACTTTATGGTCAGGGAAATTACCAAAGGAAAAATCTTGGCTCCCCCACCTTTACTTACAGAAGGTAAAACACTTAACAGAGACAGATTTCTGTTGGAGTTAGCTAGATTTCTTTTCACAGCCCTTAATCTCACGAGGTGAGAAGAAGCGGAAGTTGCCAAGTTGTTGGCTACCAGACCCATCAGTCTGTTTAACTCTGGCTAAAAGCAGAGAATAATGGGCAAGTTACCAAATTTCCTCCTTCAGCTCTGGCATGAATTCTGAAATTGTGGAAGATACTCATATAAAACACACACACACACACACACACACACACACACAGAGCAAATCCATTTGCCATGAAGTCCAGAGCATATACATTTTCAGGCCAAACAAAGACAAGACCAAAAATTAGGACTGAAAACCAAAGGTATTTTGGTTTTCCAGATGGATTCACTTTCTGGCAAACTCTCAATGGATCATTCCTCATCTCACCCTCAAATCAGTTAAAATGTTCAAGTAAACATAAATTGAGCTCTTTCTGTTATCCATCATATTCTGCCAGTTCTTTACAAATGCTGAATATGAAACTCTGTGCAGAAGGTGGCAGGAGAAAAACGCAGCTGCTACCTCCTTGTTGCCTCCTTTCTCTCACTATTCCAGGACATAGGATGAAGGAACCATTAAGTTTACTGCATCACTGAGAAAGGAATATTTGTCCGTGAGAATAAATATGGGTCCCTGGCATGTTCTCTTTGGCTGTCACAGTTCTAAGTTTGAGTGGAGGGCCTTCGAATGGACCCTTGCTCTGTGGTGACACCCTGGCATGCATGAGAGGATGAGACCAGGACTAAGCCAGTCTGAAGCTGGAGTGGGAAGTCCCACAAGGAGAACACCTGCATTTGAAGCTAACTTTCTCTCTAAATAGTTCCCTGTTCAGCTTCGGTCAAGTCAGGTCTACAACAGCCACTGTTTAGCAATACTTTGAACCTGTGAGATCAACATGCCACTTCAAAACAGATCAGACAAAATTAAGTTGAGGGTCACAAAACCTGGTCCTTGAACTAATAGGAGTATCTTACTCCGTAATGACCAGGCATGTTCTAAATAGGCTAGACTGGCATACAATCTGATAACAGCAGAATAGCATGGCTTGTAAATAGGGTAATTTTAATTCTTTGAGATGCTGTTGCTTGTAATGTGGAGTATGGATTACAGTACTTAGACAAAGTCCGCATTTATTTTTAACAAAAGACTTCTATATTCTAACGTAAAACTAAGGACCATTTATGGTCTAAGCTTATAGAAAGAAGACTGTAACATGTAATGATAGAAGTCAAAAAGCTTTGTAAAACATAAATAACCTAGTACCCTACATTTGAAGCCCTTTGAAATAGTCACTTGTTTCTAATTTGAAAAGAAATAACTTATTTATATATCAAACATCAGAGTTGAATGTAAACATGGATGTCAACCACTCTTTCATTTTTACAAATTTGCTTTTAGCTTCTATCAACAGGCAGATTTCCTTACTATCATGATCCTAAACAAGATAAAATATCCTTCTTTTAAAAATTCTTACAAATATTTATTAAAAAGTGCAATTCAAAAGTTAGCTGGGCAAGCACATCATTGCAAATCACAAAAAAAAGGGGATAACCCCCCCCAAAAAACCCCCAGGAAATACAAACAAAACAATGACAACAAAATTTAGCGTGCTGAGGAATACACAAAAAGGCAAGCAAAGGAGAAGTCAAAGCTCAAACTCTATCTAGATGTTGCTGCTCTTTCCAAGTGCAAAAGGCAACCATGAGGAGAGACAGGCAGTCTCCATTGCTGAGCTCTGGCTCTGGGTCCAACCATTACTTTTTCAGGGAAGTTATAAAAAATATCCTATATACATGTGCACATTTGAGGCATTTAAAAAGTCATCAGAAGTTTAAAGTTTAGTGTCTCAGCAGTTTCAGCTTACTTAAAACTCAATTAAAGCATCTATCATTAAATTTGGACTGGCTCAGTTATTTGAATGGACAATAATAAAGTCAAGTTGTCATCTTTGTAGAAAGCAAAAGAATCAAGTTCATTTACCTACCCATCCTTGCCATTACTCACAGGGAAAGAGAAGTCTGGTCCAGAACCAGCCTTTTTGTGCCATGACTATATCTTTGTAAATGTAAGAAAATGCCCTGACCATCCACCACCACCACTGCAGAATGCCACAGGAATTAAAGTGTCCAGGGGAGGATCACGTAACCCAGTCCACTTGATGTGCTGCAATGTTTCAGCAACACGAAGCCAGCAGGTCTGGCCTGACTCTGGCAACTTCACCAACCTTCCCTAAGCTGTGTCACTGCAGGTCGTACTGCTCTTCTCAACTGTCCCAGCTCATCAGAGCCACAGGCTGTTAGCACCCCAAGCCCCACAGTGGCACAGTATTTTCCATTAGTAATTCCTACCACCAAAAAAAAGCACCTGGCGAAGCAATTTAATCTCAGCTTTTATCCCTGAAAAACTGCATTTTCTGTCACAAACTGCTTCTGAGGCTTCTGTCCCCATCAATAACCAGCTCTCAGGGACTAAGAAATGCTACAGCAATGGGAAAAGAACATACCCAACAACCCACATTCTCAGCAGGTTTCTTTTGATGGGACAGCGGCCTGTCTGAGCAGGGGAAGGGGCTGAGTAGAAGAGCTGCCAGACATGATGGAATGAGCAACAGAACATTAGTGGGTCTTCTAATTCTTCTGTATGAGTTGAAAGCCTCCCTGAAGGAACGAAATCCAGTGAGGCAAAGCAGTGGCTAGCTGTCCTCAGACAGGACAGGCGGCAGGCAGCTTCTGTTGACCAGCCAGAAGTGTAGACATCTCTCCTCTTGCCGCTAGTCCTTCCCGCACTGGGATGGAGGAGCTGCCTCACTGCAGAGTCACAAGAGGAAGGTCGGCGTGGAGGCACATTTCCAGGAAAGGAGTGTGAGTGACGGAGAGTGCTTCTGCTCCTTTCCCCTCAGCCCATGCAGAGGAGGAGCCCATACTGCAAGCAGCATCACAGCACCAGGAAGAGGATCAGCACGACCAACAGGACTGCAAAGAGGACAGCTATGGCACACCACTGGCGACGATCTGGAAGGCAGGACATGAAGATTACCCTCTTGGGACTCTGCTCTTCCGGAGACACAAACACAGAATTTGACACAACACCTTTGAAACAGAAAGGGGACAGGTATGCCAATGACGGGCAGATCTTGAATCTGCCTAGGCGCCTGGTACTCTTTGCTGCTCTGACCCTGGCCTGCACTTCATGTGCATTCACAACTTTGCCAGCCTTGTGAAAATGTGCCTCAAGATAAGTACATGCTTTGAGTCCTAAGCCTTTAATTAAAATCTGTGGATCTCAGTTTTCTGTTGGTGGTTAGTGTATCCCTGAAAAAGGTGCTGGCATTGGAATTAAAGATTAAAGCCTGTCTGCTTTACTCTACCACCAAAGTCAAGTCATTTAACTCAACAAAGATCACGTTCTTTTCTCAATGAGCACTGCAACAAGGCAGAAAGGAGATGAAAGCCACTGCTGGTCAATTCAGGAAATAAGCAGCCAAAAAAGCAAGCTCCAGGGAGAAAGCATGATTAATTTCACATCACCCCTAGTCAAGTAAGAAGGAAGACGACTTGAGTGGCAACCATATTACAGTGATTTATACAATTCATCTGTAAATGAAAGCCAAAGTCTTTTCTGAAACCTGCCCTATCAACAATTTAGAACAGGCACAGGGACACAATGTGGTGAGTCCCTGTAAATAGCTGAGAGGAAGGAGCAGACAGGCCCCCAGGGAATGCAGAAACTCATCTCGTAATTCTCTGATTAGGACAAAGATCCTAAGACTTTCCACTCCTTTCCTGAAGTAGAGCTGAAAGGGCATGAAGAAGGAGAGGAGGCCTGTGACAGATAATACCTTCAACCTGCTTAACCATCATGTCCATGGGTCAAGAAAGCTTGTGCATCTAGTATTCTTTCATTTCTTTAAAGATGTTGGATTTCCAGTTTCCAGACTAGCACTTGTCCTAACAAATAAAAAGTTGAACAAACTGAAATCAACAACTCTTCTAAGATCCCTCAAAGAAATGAAGCCACAGGGTAGACTACCGGTCCTAACAAGGCAGGAAACTACAGGTGAACACTGAGAATCATAACTTAACAGTGGACCCCCACCTCATCCAGAAGCAGCCTCCACCAGAACCCATCCTTGGATACAGAAAACTAAACAGTAATTGATGAAATGCTGGAGGCTCAATGTGGACATGTCTAAGATATAAACACTCCACAGGGAATCAGTAAAAGGGAGACCTCCACAGTTTTGTGAGTTTTACCTCCAGAAGATCAAATCAGTGAATGTGGGAGAAAAATCCCCTCTAGCTTCTGAAGGTGGAGGGGTTAAAAAACAAAGAACATTTTGAAATAAACCATAGTATTTTGTTCTTAATAAGGCCAGCCCTCTGGGGAAGCTATTTTACCAGAGTCTAATGTACTGGGGTTTATCAGAGCCTAACTAACCTTGGAGGGGAGAAATAACCAACTCTAGCACGGTATAATCACCCTGCCCCACCTAGATGATCTTGGTCATCAGTGATGACTTTTAAGAACAACAAAGCCATTATCCATGAAAGAAATAATTGATATGTGGACATCATTAAAAGTAAAAACTTCTGCTGTCAAAGACACTGTCAAGAGAATAAATAAGCCACAGATTGGAATAAAATATTTTGTAAATGACACATGTAATAAAAGACTGACATATAAAATGTATAAACAATGTTTTAAAATTCAACAAGAAGAAAACACTCTGATTAAAAAATGGGCAAAAGACCTGAACAGACACCTCACCAAAAAAGAACAATGAACGGCAAGCAGGCAGGCATATGAAAAGATATTCAACATCTGATGTCTTTAGAAAACTACAAATTTAAACAACAAGAAACCACCCCTACTAGAATGGCCAAAACCAAAACACTGATAAGACACCAAATGCTGGTGAGGCTGTGCTGCAACAGAGCCCTTGGTGGAGATGAAAATTGACATAGCCACTTTTGAAGATAGTTTGGTGGTTACTTATGAAACTAAACATTCTGATCATAACCATCAAGCAGTCATGTTTCTTGTTATTTACTCAAACAAACTGCAAGCTTATGTCCATACAAAAATCTGCACATGGACATTTACAGAAGCTTTATTCACAACTGTCAAATACTAGGAAGTAACCAAGATTTCCTTCAATAGATGAATGGATAAATACAGTAGTCCTCCTGGCCCATGGTTTTGCTTTCCACAGTTTCAGTTAGCTGAAGTTAACTGTGGTCTGAAAATACTAAATGGGAAATTCCAGAAATAAATAATCCATAAGTTTTAAATTATGTACCATTCAGAGTACCATTCTGCTCCGTCCAGCCCAGGAGGTGAATCATTCCTCTGTCCAGCATATCTACCCTGTATATGCTACCTGCCCTTAGTCACTAAATAGCTGTTCTGGCCATCAGATCAACAGTATACAGTGCTTATTTATGTTCAAGTAACCCAATGCTACTACTTCACAATGCCTATCCTCCACCTTACGTCATTGTACTATGTAGGTACCGCATGATCTCACATCATCATAAGAAAAAGTGAAGGAGGGTGAATATAGTAGAAATTTTATGTACTCATATGTGAAAATGAGACCTGTTCAAACCACTCTAAGAAGAGGTAGGGAGGGGATAAAGGAGAATGATGGAGGGGTGAATCTAACTAGGATATACTGTAAGCACTTTTGTAAATGTCACAATGCACCCCCAGTACAATAATATACTAATAAAATTTAAATTAAAAAAAGAAAAAGTGCAAATACAGTATAGTAAGAAATTTTGAGAAAGAGACCACATTTACAGTATGTTTATTATAATATACAGCTGTAATTGCTCTACTTTATTAGTTATGGCTGCTAATCTTTTACTGTACCTTATAAATTAAACTTTATTGTAGTTGTATATGAATAGTAAAAACAGTGTATATATAGGGTTTGATACTATCCACTGGGGGTCTTGGAACCCACAGATAAGAGGAGATGAGTACAAATTGTGGCACATGAAAATAATGGAGTATTATTAAGTGCTAAAAGAGAAATGAGCTATCAAACCATGAAGAGGCATGAAGGAAGCTTACATGCATACTACTGAGTATCTTCTCTTACTGAGAGAAGCTGATCTGAAAAGGCTCCATACTGTATGATTCCAACTACATGCATGCTGGAAAGGCAAAACTTTGGAGATAGGAAAAGGATCAGTGGTTGCCAGGAGCTAGGAAGAAGGGAGGGATGAACAGGAATGCAAATCAAAATCACAATGAAAAAATAAAAACCACAAGAAGATGCTACCTCACCCTATTGGAGAATGGCTATTATCAAAAAATGAACAATAACGAATGCTATGAGGATAGCACCATGCAAAAACAGCATAGAAGTTCATCAAAAAACTAAAAATGGAGCTACCATACGACCCAGCAATCCTACCTCTGCATATATAACTAAAAGAAATGAAACCAACATGGTGTAAAGACACCGATACTCTCATGTGTATCATGGCACTGTTCACATTAGGATATGGAATCAACCTAAATGTCTATCAACAGATGAATTTAAAAAGTGGTACATATACACAATGGGTTTACTTATTCAGTTATAAAAAGCATGAAATCTTGTCATTTTCAACAATATGAATGAAGGAGGACATTTGTTAAGTAAGTCAGGCATAGAAAGATAAATACCACATAATCTTGTATGGAGAGTTCTAAAAAGTTGACCTCAGAAAGGTTGAGAGTAGAATAATGGCTACCAAATATTGGAGGGATGGGGTTGGCAAGGAGAGACAGATGGTTGGGAAAGGTGGATCAACAGGGACAATGTTATAGTTTGATAGGAGTTAAATTCTGCTATTCTAAGGCAGAGCAGGATGAATATAATTAACAATAATACATTACATAGCTCAAAACATTCTGGAGAGGATTTTGAATATACTCACCATGGAGAAATAATAAAACTTTAAGGTACACACTGGATAAGGTAATTACCCTGAGTTGATCACTACTCAATGTATGCATGAATCAAAACATCACTCTGACCCTCATGAATAAGTACAAATATTATGGTCAATTCAAAAAATTAAAAGAAAAGAAGAATTTTTAGGGCACTGAAACTATTCTCTTTGATGGAAGATGCAAGTCATATTTTTGTTAAAACCCACAGAATGAATGTCAAGAGTGAACCCTAATGTAAAGTAACTTTTAAGGGTGATAATGTGCCCATGTAGGTTCATGGATTGTAACAAATGTACTACCGTGGTGTCAGATGCCAACAGGGAGCAGGCTGAAGGGGGATTTATGGAACTCTCTATATTTTTCCCCCTCAATTTTGTCGTGAATCTAAAACTGCTCTAAAATAAAGTGTATTAATTTAAAAATATCTCGATAATTTAAAAACCACTCTCATTAAAAGTTTGTATTCTTCTAGTGTAAAAACAGAGAAGGTAATTGCTTCCCACCTCCACCCCCCGCCCCCCGACTTCACACATTCTTCCTATGTCCCATCTCGAATCTCGCTTTTTCAGTGCCAGATTTCCAACACTGACTCAGATTTCCACCTTTTGGCTCTTCATCACCCTCTACCCACATATCCTACTACCCCCAGTCGCTTTCTCTTCTTCAATTGTATTAAAAAGGGATTCTCATCAAGTGGAAACACGTATCACACAAATGAGCACAGTGCAGGCATGCTCTTTTACAGCCATTTTCTTTTGAAGTGGTCAGCTGCTTCTATGAGGCATGAACCAGGCAATCTCAGGGAGCTGCTACTCCAGCAGGCTTCTCTCAAGCACTTCCTATAAAGCTTCAAGCACAGAAGAAATGGGTACTAACCACAACGGCTTTTGTGACCTTGGGTGAAAAGTTTTAACCAGGATCTTCTTTTCTGCCTTTTTTTTTTTTTTGGATGGGGGGGGTTGTTTTTGGTGCTGGGAATGGAACCCCATGCAGGCTAAGCACATGCTCTACCACTGAGCTACATCCCCAGCCCTGAGCCAGCTTTGCAAACTCAGGACCTGCCTCAAAAAGTCAGAGGGAAACAAAAGGAACTTCAATGGTAGTTTTTCTTCCTTTCTCAAATATTTTCCTTCCCTAAAAAGAAAAAATGAACCACAGAATGTTGGAAAATGAGATGGGGGAAAATCTCAGCATCACTCAGAAACAGAATATAGCTCTGGGTAGGCAAATGGTAAAAGTGATGTCCCTTGGGTCATTCACAGAAGTAAGCTCTCATGAGGATGAGGAACAGGGGACCTACCTAGCAAGCTGAGACCCCGAGTTCAAGCCCTAGTACCATGAAAAAGGAAAAAGATTTCAGCGGAGGCAAGGGGAGATAAGAAGAGGGATTCTGCCTCTCAAGAGTTAAGGAAATGTGTTCATTTCTTCTTAATCAAACTCTGGTGTGTTTTCAGACTTCCTTATGCACAGGTTTGATAACAAAGCAGTGAATTGAACCAAAAGTTAGGGAAGAGAACAGATATAACTGCAAATTGCCTGGTTAAAAAATTGAAGCAGACACCACCAACAGGAGACCAGTAAGCAGTATTTCTTTTGGTAGCAAGCAAAGATTAAAATGAAAACATAGGGAAACTGTCAAAATGAAGGGCCTCTCAGGCTAACTGCTGTTTCCTGGCTTTTTCTCGTATAAATATAACCAAAGGTCTTACTTTGCTTTACAAATTTTTCTTTTGGGAGAAAGTAGAATAAAGCATAAGTAAGCCTTAGTGCTACTTGTATACATGGAGACACTTTTCCCAGTGCAAGTACTTTCTTAAATTATTCATACCCAGAATGCTGGGAAACAAAGACACAGTGCATCTTTGTTCATTTGCTCTTCCCCAACAGAACTTGTGCTGAAGTAGCTACTTGACTTCACTGAGAGGCCTGGTGTTTAAACCAGTTATATAAATAATACTTCAGTAAAGTATTTCTTTTAAAGCATGGGGGTTAGGGGGAAGGTGGAAGAGTAGAGAACCTAGGGAACAGAAAGAAGACTTTGCAAACCTTTCAGTAAGCACATGAAAAATGAGCTAAGCTGGTGCCTACCTCCCAATTCTCAGTTTCAGGCAAGGAAGTGCCCACTAGAAACATAAAGACATTTGTCCCTGGAGAGAAAGGAACTAAGTCTAGATAAGAGCCTCCCTTGGTTTTGGATGTGCTAGGTCCTTTGCCCTTTAAGGCCATCTGATGCCTTACAATATTTCTTTTAAAAATGCTGATATACTGTTAAACACTTTTATATTATTATTTCATTTAATGCTCATAAGGTGGGAAATAACTTTTTTTTTTTTTTGCAGTGCTTGGAACAGAATCCAAGGCCTTGCCCCTGCTAAGTGCTCTACCATGGAGTTATATTTCCAGCCCTTAAGCTATTTTTATAGGTAAGAAGTTGAGCCCCACAGAACTGTTAGGACTTGGCTAGGAATGAAACTGCTTAAGAACAAACATACATATGTATTTGAAGCTTGCATGTCTCATGCACCTGACAGTAGGAAATCAACAAGAAGGAGGGGTCGAGAAATAGGGACCTTCCAATGGGTTCTATGGTCCAAGAACACTCAAATTACTTCAAGGAGTATCTCAGTCTCTCCTTTCACTAAGCCACCCTCACAGATAAAGAAGAGATACTGGATTTTATTTAAAATCTATTCTTTCCCGTATAATAGGGGAGGTAGTCAGTTAGTGTGTTATAATAAAAAAATGTAGAGTCATTAGAATACATCTTCCCACATATTACTAATCTGAAAACTGTTACTTCTTTATCTTCATCATGGTACAAATTTGCTAGGACATATCAACTGTAGATTTAAATATAACAATTTAAATTATATCTATAGGCCATCTTATTCTTACATAGTAGGTGTTTTTCTATCAATGAAAGAAAAACAGTTCAGGAGAAACAGCAACTGTTTTTTTTCATTTTAGGTGGGACTGAGGTTTGAACTTAGGGCTTCAAGCTTGCAGAGCAGGCATGACACTGCTTGAGTCACACCTTCAGTCCATTTTGCTCTGGTTATCCTGGAGATGGGGTCTTGTGAACTAGTTGTCTGGGCTGGCCTCAAACCTGAATCCTACCCATCTCAGCCTCCCAGGTAGCTAGGATTGCAGCCATGAGCCACTGGCTCCTAGCTTGCAATTGGCTTTTTAATCTGCTTTAAACAGGCTATTTTGGCAAGAAAATAGAAAAAAAAGAAAAAAGAAAAAAAAAGGGATTCTGTAATTGCAAAGAAAGATGCACCACTGGGAGAAAAATCACCAAATACCGTGCAGGGGGAGCTCAAGGTCCATTTCCCAAGCCAGGGTTGCAAGCAGAAGCTATACACTAGTCTTTCATTCCCTGACCCTAAAGCAGCCCAAACAAATGTGCCTCCATCCAGCAAGAGGTCTGCATGGGCATACCTGTGAGGAAATCCCAGAGTTCCACAATTAAGTGCAAATTCTCAAGAGATAAACACACATACCACTGGTCATATGAGACACTTTTGCAAGTTTCTTCATCACATTGTCCAGCCGAGACTGCGTGCTCTCCAACTCATGAGAGAAATCATCCAGCATGCTAGAAAAAGCAGTCAGAGAAGGTAAGTGGTAAGCAGCACCCCGGCAATGATCTGGAGTGGGATTCAATCAGGATCCATTTAACAAACATAAAAGAGCAACAGTGGAACTCAGGACTCCAATCTATTACCCCAAATCCTCGGGTGAAAATATGTTTTGGATTGTGGAATTCTGGAGATTTTTTTAATAGTTAACCATCCCAGCAGAGCCTGGGCAGTCCTATAATCAAACACATTTACATCTCGGCAGGAAAACCTGTGAGGAATCATAGTTCTAGTCAGTTCAGGTGGTTTTTCTGTAACATATGCTTGCTGCAAAAACAAAAACAAAAAGCTCTTAGGTTTGTAGAGCTTTCTAGATTTCAGAATTGTAGCTGTGGCAGCATGGCCTTGACTATACTACACCACCAACTCAAGTGACAGTGCAATGAGTAGAAAGACAGCCCTGTGAAGTCAGACAGCCAGGCTCTGCCACCTGCTACCTTACCTACAATTCTTTGGGACTTTTTAGTCCAACTCCCTTTACAGGGTGCTTGTGAAAACCAGGTAATATACAAAAATACTTTGTGTCAATGTGAATCAAGGAATGTACTTTAACAGATATATTCTTCTTTAGAGCACTCTGTGCTTGATCCTGAGTCAAAAGGGTTCTGAACTAATATCCCTGATGTGTGTGTGTGCACCTCCTTATCTCCTCACAGAAGAGCAGTGTTTCCTCGAGGAGAACCTCTGAGCTCAGCTTAGGAAGCTTCTGTTATTTGCTGTCCAATGTGCAGCTGGGAAAGAAAATGCCAAACTACTGTATTCTTAGGGCAGTAGTGCTTATTTCATAAATTACTATACATTCCAAAGTTTTCCACTTTTGACTAGTGCATGATTATTTTGAAGTTATAACTAACATGCCAGTTAATACTGGGATCTTACTATAAAAGCCTTATTGACTGGCAGTGTCACTGGCAGCTAGAAACTACTGGTCTTGGTATGTGCCCACAAAGGACACATGATAGCCCTGCAGGATTTGGGGCCACCAACTCTTCATTAAGTCAACTATTAAATAAACTCCACACTGACAACTAGACAGATAAGTCTTTGTTCCTTATCTGAGATTTCAAATTAAAACATTTTTAGCTCATCTTAGATCCTGTCAGCATTTTGGCCATGCAGCTGGCAGGCTTATCCAGGCAGGCCAAATACTGCAAACAAGAACTACCTTTGTGTGCTGGTACGGCTTTGCTTACTGAAGACAAAACAGGCACGTCACTCAACCTTCAGCCAAGTACACCCACTAACCAAGTTCTCAGGCCTGTTCTAACTCAATACTGCCCAACTGAAAGACAAAGCTAGTCACATAGGCCACTTCACAATTTCTAGCAGCCACATTAAAAGAGTGAAAATGAATTTCAATAATCCATTTTGTTTAGTTTAATATACCCAAAGTATTATCCTAACATGTAATACAGAAATTATTAATAAGCTATTTTGCCCTTTTTTCACTTCAAAGTCCAGTGTGCATTTTACTCTTGAGCACATCTTTGGTCAGACTGGCCACATTCCACTTGCTCAACAAATGCATGTGGCTAGTGGCTATACTACTGGACAGGTCTAAGCCTAAGACCCATTTTTTTTTTTCTTTTCCTTTTTATTTTTACCAGAGTTATATACACACCTAGCTTAAAGAGACAAACTAGTCCTACAAGGCTTTTTTTTTTTTTTTAATGAAAAAAACAGTTGCTTTACATTCCTTAGAGCAATTGTTCCCATCTTGTCACAATCTTCCTTGGGTACTTTCTTCATTTTTGGAAGCAACATGCATGTACCTTAGGACCCTCACTTTTGTCTTTAGACTTCACCGACTGATGCAGTGCTAATCAATGAGGATTTAGTTTTCTTTGCATCTGAGTCCCACCTCTGTATCCTTCCCACTTCTCTAATATAGATGTGTCATAGTTTCATTAGATCAATATTAAGCATTTACATGAAGACCATTAAAAAAGTGCTATCCACAGATGAGGGAGCTTTGTGGTGTGAAACACACTGCCTTCCTGGCTGTCTCCACTTCTGGTGGAGGAGTCAGCTTTCTCTGGCCTGAACCAATCAGCTACCTGCTTTCTATAGCTGTTGTTTCTTATTCTGTGTTTTATGTCCCCATAGGTTTTAGGCCTTTAAAACAAAAATTCCTTTGCTCTTATTCCAGTGAGGTTTTGGAAGAATGGAGATAAGGGGTGGATTCAATTCATCATCTTTTTACTAGAAATCTTTCAGGCTGCCTCATCAACACAGTAACTCAAGCCATTAGTCCCTAACCATTTCAACATGGAATTTTAGGGTCAAAACTAACTTTACATAGACAATCTATATAATTACATTGTCAATCTAGACACACTAAGCATGTGTGTCTAGATTCCTGTTATTTCAGCTTCTTAGCTGGTCTCTGCTGGGTTCCACTCTGGTACGCCATCTAAAATCAGTCAGTTTGGCCTTTGCAACACCTGATTATGTTATCACTAGTAACACCACCTTCCCTGGCCTACTGCAATACTTAGAAGGAAAAGCCCTGCCTCCTTGCCATGCTGAAAGGCCTTTTCCACTCTGTTCTTTGCCTCTCTAGATGGGTTTCTACCCCCATTCCCAATTCCCATAGTAGAGATACTAAAAACCTACCTGTTATGTGCACTTTTGCATCTCTACACCTTCACATGTATTCTTTCTCTCTTGACCCACATCCCATCTCAATCTTCTTAAACAACACTGACTCTCACTCACTTGTCTATCTTCTACACATCCTGCAGGTTTCAGTTAAATTCCATTTCTCAGGGAACCCAGGCTAAGCTAAGTCAGGATTCTCCAGGCAGCAGCACTGGCCCTATCACAGTGATATCAGCTTTGCCACTTCAATGTCATCATGTAACCACTGGCTTCATTTACATAATGTCTGTTCTACCCAGTAAGTGGCAAACTCTCTGAATGGCAGAGACAGTGTCTATTCTGTTCACTTCTATATCCCCAGGACCACCCATAGGGCCTGGTGTAGAATAGGTGCTCAGTAAGAATTTACAATGAATGACTACTTAACAATGAATGTGAGGCTGGGATAGAAGAGTTTCTGAAATATCATCGTGGACTGTCTTACTATTTTTTTCCAGAAAAAAAAATTGTAAAAGTGACACTGTGCGGCAGCATTTAAGAATGTTATTTTTGCTACAATACTTTAGAGTATATAAGAGATTATTTTTAAAGAAAAACAAATTTTAAAGTTATGTTTTCCTGGTTTGTTTTGAGAGGGAAGTTTTTGTCAATTGGAGTTAAATTTCTAAGTTTTTTCAAAAAGTTGTAATTCAAGATGAAAACAAAATTCTATTCAATGTAGCAGGAGTCATGGGATGATATGGCGAAGGCAGCTCTAGTATCACATTCACTGGTCTCCCTTCATACCTGTCCATCTTCTTCAGACCAAAAATCTCCACAGGATATAGCCCTATGTTTTGCATTCACATTCTGAACTATGTTTCAAGTATCTGCTCAGAGAAATTTTTATCTGTTCCTAGGAGAAGTTAAAAAATAGCAATAAGTTAGCCTAAACCTCTTTGGGAGGGCAGTCTGTACAACAGAATAAAATGGCTTTGCATTTTACTGTGGAACACCAGGCCTTCTAGGGCTTGTGGATGGCTCCCCCTCAGTTTCACTGCACACAGAGGGGTGTCTCTATACTTACACTGCCTGTTCCTCTAGCTCTCCTCCAATGCGCTGGGACATGTTCTTCAGCACCCCAATGCTGCCAGAGACCAGCTCCAACTGCTCATCCTGCTGTTCCACGATCAACTGGTGCCAGAGAAACGGAAATAAGCAATTAAAATCTATCTTACCTGGTCCCAAGCCCAGCACTCTAGCAGCTGCTAGTTTCTTTGCCAGCTTGGGACAATTCACATTCAGAAGCAAAGCCCAGAAATCAAAGGACCAGACCGTCGCCTCTGAGAACACGCTGCTCAAAAGGCTGGATTGTCAAGCTACTGATACCTCCTGCTGATCCAACTTGTGAACAGTCAGCGGGGCTTGAAGCCACCAAGAGAGATTTACTCTGGTTGGCTGAGGTCCAATGAGGGAACAGACAATGGACGAAAGCACACATGCAGATGATCACTGAGTCATGGGGATGTTTGGAAGCTCACTGCCAAGGTCAAGGTCTCAGTCCACAACACACTGCCACAGCTGAAATGCAAGCCTGACAAATCTCTGGATGAGGGAAAACTATGTACACAGAGTCTTTTCCTTCTTCCTCAAGGACAATCTAGAAGAGGCCCTGTGGTAATAAGTCACCTCAAGGACAACTACTGAAAAGTAGGTATTTTTAATTGTGTTGCATCTCCCTTTCTATAAAAAATTTTGCTTGGTTAACAGCAATTTGATCAAACAACTGGTTAGGCAGGCATGTTAATGGAACTAGAACAAAATAGTACATAACCTATACATATATATAAAACACAATATTTAAGAACCAATAGTTTCAATGAGCAGCTGATCCTCAAATCCTCAGATACATCATTACTTTTCCTTTATTAACACAGCTACACATTAAAAGCTACAACACATACATAATCAACTTCACTTTCCTTCTATCCCTCAACCTCCATCAGTGCAATCACTTTTCTGTGTGATGGAGCAAACTAATAATTTTCAATGAAAAAAACCAATCTTTTCTGAAAGTGTCGTTATGAAAAAATGAACAAAAACCTGAGAATACAAATAAAAGGCTGGGGAAGAGGTACTGTTTTCTTTTTAAAAATCCTTGGCCTTGTCTATCAGTTTTGATGTCTGCTTTGCTTTTTCTGAGACCTAATCAAGTGTGGTTCTTTTGAACATTGTGATCTGAAGGTTTTAAAGCTTTTTACATATGCAATCATTATACATTTGACATTGTCAACTATATGACAAGCTCTGGCCCAACCTGCTTGTCATTAAGCAACAAACTCTGTGGCTGGTAGAGAAATGAGGGCAGGGACCCCACTCATCCTGGGCCATCTGTTTTTGGGGTACCTGTTGCTGTGCCTGCTGCTCCTCAATGAAATGGGAATTGGCTAACTGCAGCTCCCGATCGAGGCGCCGGTACTGATCTGTTGTTCCAGTGTTCCAGTTCTGGCTGCCGCTGTCTCCCAGCAGTGCCTGTGTGAGCAGGGACAACCAGAGCCAGGAGAAATGAATGGATGTTATCTCTGAACAAGTGCTATGTCAGGGTGATACAGAGTTGTAACATGGGCCAGTCTTTTATGTAACAGTATATGTTAGTGCCTATGTGGTACAATTTAAGTAATGCTAGGAAAGGCCCTCTAGATCTTCAAGCCCTCTCAATGGGCCTAACAAATGGCTTTGTCCCCTTAAAGTGCAGTGTCTATATTAAATCAACAGTCACTGATAAGAATTTAAAATTACTTGGTTCTTAAAACAGCTCTTCCTAGGAAGTTCTTCCCTTGGAAGTTCACGAGGGACCCATAGAGTCTAATCAAACTGGTCCCACACATCTGGAGTTTATAATTGAAGGATGACCTAGGGAAGTTTTAAGGTTCTGGGAGAAGAGGTGTCCTCCAGAATAACAAGAAGTTAAGTGATAGTCCCTCACACATGAGAGGCACAGAACCATCCATGTCTGTTAAATTTAACTCCTGAAACTGAAAGCTATAAGCTTCCCAGAGGATAACTGAGTGCTGCTTCCTCAGGCAGGTATGACCACAAGGAGGCACCTGACCTGACACAACCTGGGCACATGGTGGCCCTGATGTCAGAGTTCTCCATGAGGACTCCCAGAGGCCAGGGTTGTGGTCCCCAAGCACAAATTCAAGGAGAAATGGCTAGGTTTGAGACTGTCTTCTTTGTATAGGAAGCCAGACTGGAACATGAGCACTCAGTGTTGACAGTTGGTTTGGAGCAGGTTCCCATTTTTGGTTTTTTTGGGCAGTATTGACGTTTGAACTCAGGGCCTCATGCTTGCTAGGCAGGTGTTCTACCACTTGAGCAACTTCACCAACACTGTTTTGTGAACAGTTTTTCGAGATAGGGTCTTTTGAACTATATGCCTGGCCTGGCTTTGAACCACAATCCTCCTGATCTCTGCCTCCTGAGTAGCTAGAATTACAGGTGTGAGCCACTGGCACAGTTTCCACCTTTCTGACTGGCCAAATCCTTGCTCATGGCACCCCTGAACGAAGACCCAGAAGATACTTGTACCCAAGACTCCTAAGACTCCTTTTCCTTGTACAGTTACCAAAAACTCTACAGGATAGAGTTTTGTATGTGCTGGGACTTGAGCTCAGGGCCTCAAGCTTACCTAAAAGGTACTCTTACCACTTGAACCATACCCCAAGCCCTTTTCTGCTTTAGTTATTTTTTGGATCAGGTCTGTTGTTTTTTGCCTGGGGATGGCCTCAGATCAAGATTCTCCAACCTATGACTCCAACATAACTGAGACCACAGGCATGTATCACCATGCTCAGTTTATTTCTTGAGATGGGTCTTGTTAAGTTTTGACAGTGCTGGTCTTGAACTGTTATCCCTCCAATCTTCACCTCCCTCACAGCTAGGATTATAGCTGTGAGCCACCATGCCTGGCCCCAGGCATTTTTAAAAATCTCTAGCACATTTGAAAGTCTGATCAACTACTTGATCTCTGTCTGAAAACCCCTCCAACAAGCACTTCACGCCTCCTCCTCAACACTGACAAGACTTTCAGAGGTGAGTCCCATTTAATGGCTAGACTTCAAAGGCCAGGAGTGGGAGGCTCAGGATGCAGAGCACCAAGTTCTGAGGCAGTTATTAGAACTCCCAAGACACTCATTTCCCAGACTCTTCTACTTTTGTTGTTTGTTTGTGGTACTGGGTTAAACCCAGAGGTTTGTGCTTGCTACCACTTGAGCCCTGCCCGCAGCCCTTTTTGCTTTAGTTGTTTTTAGGATAGCTCTTATGCTCAGGCTGGCCAGGACTGCCTGAAATAGTATTTATGCTTCTCATGTAGCTGGAATGACAGGAATGCACCACATCTAGATTTTATTGGTTGAGATGGGGACTCACTAACTACCTGGGTTGTTCTCGAACTTCAATCCTCCCAATCTCAATCTTGCAAGTAGTTAGGATCACAGGTGTGAGCCAATGCACCTAGCTCAGAAGCAATTGTTTTGGAGCTCTGAGGGTCTCAAGAGTATCAGTCCAGTCAAAAGGCTGGATGGGTCTGTATCTGGCATAAAGCAGACCCAGGCCTTTTGTGGGTGGCTATGCCAAGATTTAAAGATCATTCTGATTCATATTCTAAGGACCTCCATGGAGCTCAGTAGAACCTAGGGACAATTTCTTTAGGGTCAGAAAGGAGTAGCGCTTACATCATTAGGCCTCTGACAAATAACTGGGGCTTCTTTAGGGCCTGTGTGCTTCTATATCATGTACAGGGTCTACACTGTTGTGGGATATACATTATGCTTTTAAGAGTCACACAGATTTGACAGAAGTAGCTTAGAGTTCATCTGAAGATGCAGAGGACTCCTAGTGCTGGAATACTGAAGGGGGCGGGGGGGGGGGGTGGAATGCCTGAGGGGGTGGTCAGAGACGCAGCAAGCAGCACAGCACAGTACCTAGCACTAAGGCTGACTCTGCTACTTGAGGATTTGTTTAGAGAACCGTGGCCCTACTACTCCTTGAAAATTTGAGGCTCTGTGACATTCACTTATGTCCTAAAACAAGATTCTAAGCCATACTTGGAAAGGCAATGCGTAAATACTCATTTTCCTTATATTGCCTCAATTATGCTATCTAAAGAATAAGACATACACATTAAGAGTAACAAGGGAGAACTGGAGGAGTGGTTCAAGTGGTAGAGTACCTGCCTAGCAAATGTGAGGCTCTGAAGTTCAAGCCTCAGTACTGCCTCCCTCCTCAAAAAAAAAAAAGAGTAACAAGAAATGGGTGTTTCTCACCTTGCTGCCACAACTGCTTCAGGTATTGTCACTTGACTTCCTATATGCTCAAGTGCAAACAAGGGAACTCTAAAACTAGCCAGGTATGGCCACTCATTAGCTTCTTTCAAGAGTTAGAGCTAGATGGAATGAGATAGCTAACGGTTTTTCCTATCAGTACTGTTCAAAAACAGCAAGAGAGACAGATAAGAACAAAAAAAACAAGCAAGCAAACAAAAGACTTGAAAAGTGGAAATGCAGGGGAAAAAAAAAAACAAAAGGAAAAGCAAGTTAGGTGGTATTTGTGGAATGCACTCCTTCTCCAAGCTGTTGTAATACTTGTTTTCAAAATTAAGTGGCTCAACAAACACCCACAGGTATAGAAAGTAAGGATGCATATTAGGAACTACTGACTCCTCTTTAGTAAAAACAGCGAGAGATTTCTCAAGCTAAGTGGCTACTAAATGGACTATTGGTACCTTTCTGGAATCTGAATAGAATGAGGTTAAAATAAGTCATTTAAAGCAAATAGTAGGCAGGGTGTGGTGACACACACCTGTAATCCCAGTACTTAGGAGGCTGAGGCAAGACGATCTGAAGTTCAGGCCAGCCTAGGCTACATAGTGAGAATCTCTCAAAAAACAGAACTAAATCTAAGTCAAATCTGAATTGAAATTCAAGTTTAAGTTCTACATGATGTTTGAACACTTTTTTAAAGGATTTTAACAATTAGGAATTTCTTATATACATTAAAGTGTGTAATTCTTTAAAATACTTAAAACAGCTGGGTGTGGTGGTTTAGACCTGTAATCCCAGCACTTGGGAGGCTGAGGCCGGAGGAGTGTGAATTCAAGGCCAGCCTGAGCTACAAAGCAAAAGACCTTGTCTCAGAAGTGTTTGTGTGTATATGTATCTGTGTATGTTTCTATATATGTATTTAAAACAAAGAGAGATAAAATTTAATGCGTATTAAAATTTCCTTAAGTACCTTTGTATCATACTTCAGTCATTATCTGTCTAATGAGTTCTATGAGTAGCAAGGCAGTAACTGCTAGAGATAAAAAACAGGACACAATCCTTCTACCTTCTCAAGGCACTTGGGGCTCAGAAAAAAGAAAGACAGTAAGTTGTTTTAGTGCCCAGAAGAGAGCCTGAACAGTGACTGTGATGAACAGGTACAGCATAAACATAAGAATAAAAGACTCTGTGAAGAGCACTGTAAGGTTAAGCAAAGTTGCTATGGGAGTCCAGGGGAGAACAGCAGAGGGAGAAGACAGGAGGGGAGAGCCCACAGCAGTGTTGGGACAGGCTGACCGGATGCTAGACCAAGCATCCCTGAAAGGCCCATGTGTTAAAGGCTTGGCTCCTAGTCTGTGGCAGTACTGGCAGATTATAGAACCTTTCAGAAGTGTAGCCTAGTGTGTGGTCTTTCCTTTCCCAGTCAGGAGATGAATGCAGTACAGTTGCCATGATGTGCTGCCTTGCCACAAGCCCAAAAAGCAATATGGTCAACCAATCAACAACTGAATGAACATCCAATGAGCCAAAATAAACCTCTCTTCTTTATAGCTGATTATCCCAGGTATGTGTTATAGTAACAGAATGTGGATTAACCAACTAGACTTTCACAAAACCTCCCAATCTCACTTCAGGGACAGCATGCATTGGTCTTACTCTTGATCATGTGATACATGGATGGTCAGCATTTTAAAATTCCAAATATTTAACCATGTATTTTCTTTGGTTCTTATATTCCTATGCCGGAAGTGGCAGCGCATGCCTGTAATCCCAGTACACCAGGCTGAGGCAGGAGGATCACCCAGTTCAAAGCCAGCGTGGGCTACATAGCAAGATCCAATCTCCACACACAAAAAAAAAAAGGTTTGGGAGATACTTATATTCTGCTGTTTTCTCACCTGTCTATTCTTCCTTTCAGCTAATGCCTGCACAGATGAAGTTGACATCTGATCCTTCATGTCCTAATGGGACAAACAGAAGACCGGGAAACAAATGAAAAATATCCTTAAAATCACAGCTAATATTTCTCACAGTAAAACATTCATAATTTATTATTTTCTTTTTTTAAGCAAAATATTTTCAGAGTATCAGAAATAATTTTGTACGGAAACAAAAATTAATGGATCTATTAATCTGAAGCAAAACACTTTTTAAAATATGAGTCATTTTGTTTCTCACATTAACCACACACCAATATACTATACAGATATAACTATAATATTAATTTTCTTTTTTCTTTGAAGAAAAACGGCTGTCAAAACAGTTTGCCATTTTCTGTTAGCAAGCAGACTTATTTTTATAGATGCAAATGTGAAAGTAGTTCAACTTTTAGAAACTTCCTCTAAGACCTATGACAAGCAAGTGCTAGATCAAATAATGCCATCACTTTAGTAATTCCTATTGTGATAAATGAGTAATAACCACCTTGCTTCAACTTTCAAAGTACTCAATCACCCATGCAGCAAATACTGATGTCTGGTGTGTGCCAGGCATACAGCAATTACTGAAACCCTGCTCCCTTGGCACTCACATGGTGATTCATCTGCGTCAGACAATTAATGGGTTGTTAAAATGCAGTTTTCTAGGTCCTATCCAGATCTACTAAGTCACATTCTTTATGGTACATTTTAACTAGTCTCTCCGAGTAGTCTCAAAACTGAAACTTGAGGACCTCTCGTCTACACGAATTCTTGAAACCTCAAAGTGAGATGGTGACAGCCTTATCTCTGGACTGCCAATGTCTCCTCATCTGCAGGATCCCCTTTCTATTTATCAGTTAAAGATAACATTCTGATATTCAATTAACTTCATGTACATTAATAATTATAGAGAGAATATGTGAAATGCTCACTAAGGGTATAATATATGCTTTTTAAAAATAATCTTTCTAAAAAAAAACCAATGAGCATGTTACTTGCATGTGAATGTCAACATATGTACAGAAAACTGACATCTTAGCCTTTGAACACCATATGCAGAATTTGTTTCTGCTATCAGAAGTTGGATGGTGAAGATGAAGTGGCTGTAATGGACAGCAAGGAGGCTAGTGGGGGTGCTGGTAAGACCCTGTAATGCTTCTGGGTGCTGCTCAGATAGGTGTGTCCAGTTAAAAAACTCATCAAGCTGTATACTTAGGATACATGAGCTTTTCTGTACTGTTACACTTCAATAAAAAATTTTTTAAAATACTATTGCTCCTAATTAATAGACAGATGGTGACTGAACCAAATCTTTGAAAATAAATTTTGTCATTTGTGTCAAAAGCCTTAAAAAACATTCATTGCCTTGATTCATTAATTCCACCAAGGGCAATTTATTTTGAGAAAATAATATCAAGTATATACCAAGACAAATGTACAAAAATATACTCTGCAGTGTTATTTAAAATATATAAGAAAAGCAGAAATAAGCACCATGTCAAAATAAGAGACTAGCAACTTACAGTAAATCCACATAACGTAGTATTATGTACTAGACACAATGCTTAGGGGAAAAGTTCCAAAACCAGACAATACACAAATGATCAACCATGAAAAGATGTACGAATCCACTAATGAAGCGCAACTAAGAGAGATTTCTCCATTAGACCAAGTAAGATAAAAAGATTGATAGTATTTAGAATTGATAAATGTATTAAGAAATTTAGACTAAGATAGTCACTGAAGCACAGTTTCTAATTGCTAAAAATTAAAAACACAAATACCTACCTAATAGTAGGTATTTTTAATTTGATAATTAATAGTTGAATAAATCAAAGCAGAGCCAGATTAGAGAAGAGATTAAGAGCATGATCTTTTGTGTTAAAGACCTTGGCCCAAGACTTAGCAATACTTTTAAATAGCTGTGCTAAATTGGACAAATTACCTAATTTTTCTATTTCTCCATTTGGGATAGGGTTTTATAGAGTAATTATGATGACTAATAGAGACAATACATGAAGTGTGATTAACAGTGGCCAACAATATAGTAAACACTGTCACCACACAGAAGTATGCAACCTTTAAAAAGGATAATCCAAATCTACTCCTGTCTAGGATATAAAATCAACATAGAAAAATCATTAGCATTTCTATACACTAACAATGAGCAAACTGAAAAAGAATGTATGAAAACAATTCCATTTACAATAGTCTCAAAAAAAATCAAATACCTAGGTGTAAACCTAACAAAAGATGTGAACGACCTCTACAAGGAAAACTATACAATTCTGAAGAAAGAGACTGAGAAGACTATAGAAAGTGGAGAGATCTCCCATGCTCATGGATTGGTAGAATCAACATAGTAAAAATGTCAATACTCCCAAAAGTAATCTACATGTTTAATGTAATTCCCATCAAAATTCCAATGACATTCATTAAAGAGATTGAAAAATCTACCATTAAATTTATATGGAAACAGAGGCCACGAATAGCCAAGGCAATACTCAGTCAAAAGAACAATGCAGGAGGTATCACAATACCTGACTTCAAACTGTATTACAAAGCACTAACAATAAAAACAGCATGGTACTGGCACAAAAACAGACATGAAGACCAGTGGAACAGAATAGAGGACCCAGATATGAAGCCACACAACCATAACCAACTTGTCTTTGACAAAGGAGCTAAAAATATACGATGGAGAAATAGCAGCCTCTTCAACAAAAACTGCTGGGAAAACTGGTTAGCAGTCTGCAAAAAACTGAAACTAGATCCATGTATATCTCCCTATACCAATATTAACTCAAAATGGATCAAGGATCTTAATATCAGACCCCAAACTCTAAAGTTGATATAGGAAAGAGTAGGAAATACTCTGGAGTTAGTAGGTATAGGGAAGAACTTTCTCAACGAAACCCCAGCAGCACAGCAACTAAGAGATAGCATAGATAAATGGGACCTCATAAAACTAAAAAGCTTCTGTTCATCAAAAGAAATGGTCTCTAAACTGAAGAGAACACCCACAGAGTGGGAGAAAATATGTGCCAGCTACACATCAGACAAAGGACTGATAACCAGAATATATAGGGAACTTAAAAAACTAAATTCTCCCAAAACAAATGAACCAATAAAGAAATGGGCAAGTGAACTAAACAGAACTTTCTCAAAAGAAGAAATTCAAATGGCCAAAAAACACATGAAAAAATGCTCACCATCTCTAGCAATAAAGGAAATGCAAATTAAAACCACACTAAGATTCTACCTCACCCCTGTTACAATAGCCATCATTAGCAACACCACCACCAACAGGTGTTAGCGAGGATGCGGGGTAAAAGGAACCCTCTTACAACTGTTGGTGGGAATGTAAACTAGTACAACCACTCTGGAAAAAAATTTGGAGGCTACTTAAAAAGCTAGACATTGATCTACCATTTGATCCAGCAATACCATTCTTGGGGATATACTCAAAAGACTGTGACACAGGTTACTCCAGAGGCACCTGCACACCCATGTTTATTGCGGCACTAGTCAAAATAGCCAAGTTATGGAAACAGCCAAGATGCCCCACCACTAACGAATGGATTAAGAAAATGTAATATCTATACACAATGGAATTTTATGCAGCCATGAAGAAGAACGAAATGTTATCATTCGCTGGTAAATGGATGGAATTGGAGAACATCATTCTGAGTGAGGTTAGCCTGGCCCAAAAGACCAAAAATCGTATGTTCTCCCTCAGATGTGGACATTAGATCAAGGGCAAACACAACAATGGGATTGGACTTTGAGCACATGATAAAAGCGAGAGCACACAAGGGAGGGGTGAGGATAGGTAAGACACCTAAAAAATTAGCTAGCATTTGTTGACCTTAACGCAGAGAAACTAAAGCAGATACCTTAAAAGCAACTGAGGCCAATAGAAGAAGGGGACCAGGAACTAGAGAAAAGGTGAGATCAAAAAGAATTAACCTAGAAGATAACACACACGCACAGGAAATTAATGTGAGTCAACTCCCTGTACAGCTATCCTTATCTCAACCAGCAAAAACCCTTGTTCCTTCCTATTATTGCTTATACTCTCTCTACAACAAAATTAGAAATAAGGGCAAAATAGTTCCTGCTGGGTATTGAGGGGGTGGGGGGGAGAAGGAGGGGGCGGAGTGGGTGGTAAGGGAGGGGGTGGGGGCCGGGGGTAGAAATGACCCAAGCCTTGTATGCACATATGAATAATAAAAGAAAAAAAAAAAAAACAAATCTACTGTCCAACCCAGTGGCTAAAACCAACTGTAGCAACTGAGCACTTGAAATGTAGTCAGTATAGCTGAGGAACTTAATTCATTTTATTTTAATTTAATTAACTGAAACTTAAATTCAGGTACTGGAAAACTTTTAGGTATGTTTGGAAAAAATTAGTTTTGTAAATTTACTATTTCAACTGTACGTTTTATAAATCTAAATAGATTTAATTACTTCCAAATAAAATTTCACATCTGAATTGAGATGTGCTTAAATGTAAAATGAATGCCAGATTTAGAATTATTAGTACAAAAGTTTTAAAAAATTAATCTCTCATTAATATTTCTTATATTGATTGCATGTTCAAATGATAATCTTTTGAATGTATTAGATTAAATGAAATATATTTATAGTTTTAAAATGTAGCTTCTAGAAAATTTTGTTTGACATAAATGCTCACATTATATCTACTGGACAGCCTCCTCTAGATGTATCTGTATTGACAGAAGACCATGTCCACAATATCTTTTTATTTTCTGAGACAGAATGTCACTATACAACCCAGGTTAACCTCAAACTTATGATCCTCCTGCTTCAACCTCCTAATTGCTGGAATTATAGGTATGAATCATTATACCCAGCTTACAATATACTTTTTCACAGAAAGAAATTTATAGAATATCATGTTATTCCTTTTATGAGTTTGTGTATTTCAATGTCCATAAAATGGCTGGAAAAACTGTTGACAGTGATCTCTCCAGGGAGCAAAATTATAGACTGGAGGGGCATTTTCACCTTTCAAACACATCAGAATTGTTTGCATTTTAAAAATAGCAAGTATAGATTTTTTATTTTAAAAATTAAAAAAAATTAATTACTGAATAACAGTAGGATCACAACTGTGTAAAAAACATAACTACTTTGTATTAAGAGGAAAATGACTAAGAGGAGAATACAACAAAGTGTGCTTAGGTATCATTTTGAGTTTCAGTTTCTTTATTTTTTTTTCCTGTAGTAAAATTGTTCTAATTTTCTTTAATGAATATGCATTACTTTAATGAAATATGTACTTTTAAATTCCAGACTTAGAGATTTTCTGCTTAATTAAAAACGTGTATGTGGAGGAGGAGGTTTTGAGTCCTGACTGGACAAATTCTTCAACACCTGTGTGGTGGGCATCTGGTGTATGGCCACTGCTGCAGGTAGAGAGCTATGGCTTTTAATTCTAAGATGACATTTTATCTAAGTAGGTTAAAGTCACCTAACACCATACAAGGGATCACCTTTATATTAGAATGTGGCATCTAAAGCTATGTTAGCAAACACTTTTAAACATTTTGTAACAATCTATCATGCCAAAAACATAATTACTCATCCTCTTCCTAACACACGAAGTTTAGAACCAGCAGTTAAAAAGCAGTCAGTCCCAATAAAATATGGTTCATCTGCCAAAAGAACAACAAATGCCCTGGTTACTTATGCTCCTGTTTCCATTTCATCACAGTCTTCCAAGCTGAATGGATGAAACATAAATCCCAGTGCTTCCTACTTAAGTCTCACATCCCAATGACTGTAAAAAATTCTTGGGTTGAAACCAGTTGTGGGTTTTTTGGAAGGAGGAAGAGTGGAGCAGGTATAGTTTGATTCCTTTTGAAAGTTAAAAATAAAGTCAAAGAGTGTTAGTTTAAAAAAAAAAATCACTGATAAAACAGATCCAGAGAAGAAGAGGCTGACTTATCATCATTAAAATTTGTTAAGGTCACAGCTTAGCCTGTAACTCAGGTTTCCAGATCCCTTATTCATTTTTCTCTGCCACATACTGCAAAACTAAATACACTACACTACAAAAGTACCAAACTCACTTCTGGAATGCATTTTCAAAACACACAAACCTCATATGTGAAATCTAATAGGGTGACTTTACAAATGTAAAAATGATTACCTCAAAAATACAAAGATGGTCTGAGGATGTAGCTCTGTAGTAGCATATTTGCCTAGTATGAGCAAGGCCCTGGGTTTAATCACCAGCACCACCAAAAAACAAAAAAACTAGAGTATTCTGCTTACTTCAGTAAAAACTACCAGCAAAACTTAGTAAAAACTGCAAACTTCAAAGATGCTTAAAAATCATACAGAAGACTCTTTAAACAAGGGAGGCTTAATAAGCCCATGGCGAATGGATATTAATTGAGAAGTCACACAGGAAGATTTACTTCTTCAGGTAGAGGGAAAAAAAGGTGTTCAGAGTACCACTGACTCCCCCTGCCTAAGAAGAAGGCGTAATTGGCACAAGTTGTTTTAAAAATAAAGTAGATCAAAATTTTGGAGCAGTATTAAATAAAATCCCACTGATAAGAGTAGATTGAGAATAAATATAATGATTAAAGAATATATGCTTTACTGCAAGGCACCATTAAACATTAGGACTGACAGCAGTATCCTTCAGAAAACCTATTCTTATTATAAAAAAAGAAGGAAAGAAGGAATGAAGGAAGGGAGAAGACTACACTTATTAAAAATTAACTGGGGACTTATTCAGCATACAAAAAAATACATCATCTAAAATCAGGGCTTACCAGATTAGCATTTTGAACTGGCTATTAATCGGGAGGGTCTAACCTAAATACTGTCTAGATAGGGCACATAACATCAGAAATAGGCCCTCATCAAATGTGGGCCTATTTATAAACAATTTTGGCGTAAGTATATAGAAAGGCAACTACTGAACAAAACAAGAAATAAGAGTATATAAAGTTCAATGATAATTTACCATTTGAAATAATTTCAAGAGGAAATCACATGATAGAAAGTCTTTGGCAAACACATACTAAGGTTCCTGCCATATGTTAGTACTGGTCTGATCCCAAGTCTTTTTATTCAAGGAAGCTGCTTTCTAGTACATATGTAAAAGACAGCTGGTTCTCTTATATCTAGTTATGCTAATTGAATGGCTTAGCCATATAGTTTCAAAATACAAAACATATCTTAATGATGCAAGATTTTACTTAAATGGGTATTACTCTAAAATAATTCAGGACTAAAAATTTATCCACTTGGATTTTTTTTTTTTTTTTTTTTTTTTGGCATGCTGATAGATGTTTGCTTGCTCTGGATAGCTCCTGAGAAGCTGTCAAGTTATATATGACAATGTCAATAACAAGGGCTGCAAGATTTCCAGAAGCAATTCAGATGGTAGAAGCAGCCACCATCCAAACCCAGGAAGAGCTACTCTTCAACAATGCAAGGGACTGCCAATCAATCACAAAACCAAATGGCTTTACAATAGTATACTAAGGAAAAATGATCATTATTAGTGATATGACAAGTAGGATCACACTATTACAGTATGCTTCTGAAGGCAGCAGTTCAATGTTTTATTTTTGCTCTAGTAAGTCACCCAATACTAAAAACATTTTTTTGTCAATCAGAGAAGTTGTATGTGGGAAACCAGCAATGAATTCACACTAAAAAGTGGTTTCAGAGTCAACTTACTAGTTTACAATTAAGGGAACGAATTCTAAGAAGTGTAGGCACTTCTTACACAGATAACACAGTAAGATCATATTCCTTACCCTGACGATTTGCCGAGTACTTGTAATGAAGGCTTTTCTTATGCTCAATTCAGTTGCATCAAGGTTGAATTTCCTAGGATTTGCTTCAACTATGCGTGGGTCAAAAGTCAAGGTTAAGCAATTTCACTATCAAAAATCTGACAACTTGTTAAACCACAGAATCATTCATATGCCAGCAATCAAAACTGCCCTAAACTTTCTGAAAACACAGTCAACTTGACACTAAACATCCCAAAATTTGCCTGTCCATACCTATGTAAAGATCTCTTTGCTCCAAGACAGAGAGATGACCTGTCAAGTTAAGAAATGGTTCCTGCTAACCAGGTGTGGTGGTACACACCTGTAATCCCAGTACTTGGTATGTGGAGGCATCAACCTGAGATACATAGTAAGACTCTGTCTCAAAAAACCAAGGGTTGGGGTTGTAGCTTAGTATTAGATTGCTTGTCTTACATGCATAAGGCTCTGAGTTTGATGTTCAGCAACCCCCCTGCCACACACACACACATACACACTGCCCCTGCTGACTGGGTTTACTACAAATCTGTAGCTGTCTAAGCATAGGTGAGCCAGGACCTTCCTAATGCTTACCAACACCAATACTATTTTGACTTCTGATTATTCTTCTCGTGACAGACAGCTTTTGGCAAGCCTTTTACAATTGCCATTCCAACATACTTCCCCTTAAGCTACTAGGAGGCTCAATATATAATATATTATATATATAATATATATAGATATATATATATATATATATATATCTACTCCTTGAGCCAAATCCCCAGCCCTTTTTGCTCTGGTTATTTGTGAATAAGAAGTCTCACTTCTGCAATCTTACTTTAGGCTTCCCACCACAGCTAGGATGCCACCATGCCCAGCTTTTTTTCCCTCCCACTGAATGGGTCTCAAAACTTTTTTGCCCTGGGGCTGGCATTGGTGCTCATTCCTAGTAATTCTAGCTACCTCAGGAGGCAGAGATAGGAGGATTCACAGTTCGAAGCCACCTGGCAAATAGTTCTCAAGACCCTATCTTTGGAAAAAATGACCACCACAAAAAAGGGCTACCTGAGGGCTCAAGCAGTAAAGGCACCTGCCTGCAAGTGTGAAGCCCTGATTCAAAACCCCAGTGCCACCAAAAGAAAAACCAACTTTTCTGTCCAGCCTGGTCTGGAACAGTGATCCTTTAATCATCAGCCTGTGTGCTAGCTTGATGACAGGCACATTCTACTGTGCCCAGCTTACTGGCTGAATGAGTTTCAAAATATCAACCCCATTTCCCTTTACTGGCCCTGAACTATAATCCTCCAATTCCCAGTCTCCCAAGTAGCTAGGACTGTAGATGTGATCCACTGGCCCAGGGCTCATTCCTCTTAATCTAAAGAAATCAAGCCTTCCATCACAGAAGCTGTCTTTGGTCCTTGTACCCTCTAGCATGGTCCAATACCTTAAGTCAGACACTAAACAAAACCTCAGTACTCTCTTCAGAGTCTCTGCAATTAATATGTGTCATGTTTGATTAAATCTTTCTCCACCTAAATTCCATGAGAGATGGTACCTTGTTTCATTATTAATCTAATCTCAGTAACCAAAAATGTCTGGCATATAGAAATTCAAGAAATTTTCAGAATGAATGTACCTATTAAAAACTTTTTCTCTATACATCACCATTTCTTTTTGTTTGTTGTTAGACAGGTCTCACTATAGTGACCCAAACTGATCTGAAACTCACTAAGTACCCAGTTGTCCTCAACTCACAATTCTCCTGTCTCACTCTCCAGAGTGCTGGGATTAACAGATATAACCACCATACTGGCCCTCCAACATTTCTTTAGTTCCCAATCTTTGTTACTTCCCTCCTGTTTGGGAAGAAGTACCTTCTAGTAACTGTATTTTGATCCATCCATTCTCTTACTTTTTTTTAGGAACATACTTGTCTTTTAATAACTCAAAAAAGGTACCTCAGATCACTATACAGAAATTAGCATGCTACATATCAACTGCATTTGAACTTATGCTAACTATTGAGCAATCCTTATAGAAGCTGGTTTCCTGAATGCTGTATCTCTTTATGAAAAACAAAAATAGACTCAGACATGCAACTGGCAACATCTGAATTTTGATTAAATGGGCTTTTCAGATGAAAAAAGGCCACATAATTCAGCTTCAACAGATCTCTGTTCATCAGTCAGACCAGCGGACTTTTCTTTTAAACATTAATAGCATGAATTACATAACATATCTATTTTTATTAAATACAGTTTCATGTACAAGATTACTCTCCAATAAATACTGTCTTTTTTTTTCCCCTCCCCACCCCTCTGTCTCAGTACTGGGAATTGAATCCAGGATGCTGTGCATGGTAGGCAAGCACCCCACCATTGAGCTATCGCCAGTCCAGACAACAGCATTTTAACATAACTTCTTAAAACAGAAGGAAGAAAAGGATTTTCTTTTGATCTAATTGCCAATGTATAACACTGGTTGTATCTTTATGTTACAATATTGATCTATATAATATGACCATTAATCTTTTGTTTTGAGTTTTTCCTGCAGTGCTGGGGTGGAATGCAGGGCCTTGAATTAATTGGAGAAGTGCTATACCACTGAGCTACACCCCAGCCCAAGAGCTAATACTTTCATAGAAGCTTTACTGTGCACTAGGCACCATTCAAGTTCTTTACACGTGTAATTCTTTTGACAATCTATGACCTAGGTACTCTTATTATCCTAACTTTCTAATGATAAGGAAACTGAAGACAGAAAGGTTTAGGAATGCTCAAAGGCAAAAGACTCTATCAATAAATACATATTTGGGTCTTCTGCCTCTATTATGGCACATAGGTAAATCCCTTAGAAACTCTAGAGTGATTAAGGTCATTCTGTATGCTAATGAGATGACTGAAGGCTGAAAGTCTTAAAAGCTATAGAATAAGGTGGTCATGTGGAACCTACTTTGCAAACAGAGTATGAAATTTCAGTTCCAGTCCCTTCCCATCTCTGGAAAGGGATAGGGTCTAAAGGTTAAGTTGAATCACCAATGGCCAATGATATAAATCAATCATGCCTATGTAATGAAGCTTCCATAAAATCTCAAAGGACAGGGAGCTTCCAGATACATGAACAAGTGGAATCCTAGACAGCCGTGCTCTTGAAGAGGGCATGAAAGCTCCATCCGCGTTCTCCCATACATCACTCAAGAAGCTGTTCCACTTGCATATTTCGTGTAATAGCTTTATAATAAATGCGGATCATAACGAAAGTTTTTTCCCTGATACTGTGATGCTCTAGCAAATTAGTCAAATCTAAGGGGTGGGCTCAAAGCATATTAAACTAAGACTTGGACTGGCATCTGAGATCTATGTGATCAGATTAGCTCCAAGTAACAGGTCAGATATGGGGACTTATGGATCAAATGCGACTCCAATTAACAGCGTCCAGAATTTGAATTAAGGACTCCTTTATCTGTTGGAATTGCTTTCATGTAGGGGAAATACCCACACATATTCGTGTCAGACATTACTTTATACTGCAGTGTAGAGAGGTATAGAGAAAAAAATTGTTTTTACCCTTTCATAGTGGTAAGCCAGAAACTTACCTCAGCAGTCCAGGGTCAAGTCACAACCCACTCACTATGCTGCCTCCATACTGTAAGACTGTTACATGCTGTTAGAAACTAGGCTTATTTTCTACGCTTAGGCTTACTGGTCAATTATTTTAAAGTTCATAGTACAAATAGAGCAATTCAACTGATATTATAAAAAATACCTTTTTTATGTACTGAGACATTGGAGAAAAACCTTCCTCCTGCATATTTCCCCAAGTGCACAGCACCACAGAAAGGATATATATTTCATCAAGGTCCTCCAGATCCCCGACTCTTATGCCTACGAGGTGTTTCTCAGCCGTTGTGTTTCAGTCATTTCTTTCCCTTGGCTACAGAGCTAGGAGAGCTCCGTCCAATCTCCTGGAACATCCCCTGGCAGTTGCTTGACTCTTTTGACCTCTCGGGTAATCCAAGGGAAGGAAAAAAGAAACACCACATGACATATTTCCATGAACAAGTGAACAATCATACACCATCCTCAGCAACCAATTCCCCCAGAAGTGCTCTCACAAAGCATCAAAAGTTGAAAATACCAAACTAAATATTCTTGTTCTCATCAGATTCTCAGAATAAAATAACATAGTTTTACAAGGGGGGGGAAGCCTCTAACACAAGAGTTTAGGTAGCAATTTAATTTCTTCTCGAACAGACTACACTACAAGTAATATAAACCACAATTCCACAAGTTGACGACCAGGCCCTTTAACATCCACTGCTTTCTAGCTATGTGCACGAATTATTCAGATGAAAAATCCTGGCGCTGGAATGCAAAAAGGTTACTTACAGAGTTATTTTATATTGAGGATTTTAATCTGAATTTTAAATCCAAATCTCCATTAGATGCCCAACTAATAGTTTTAAATATATCTACTTTCTAGACTTAAAAAAAATGCTGTCCACAGAATATATGTTTTTCTGTTTAGAGTAGAGACTAGACCAGAAGTGCTATGATCTATGCAAGTTTAACATCCCCCAACCACTGGCCAATATCCAACACTTAAATTCTTCATTCATAACACTACTGAATAAAATGCCAAAAGTAGTTTAGTCATAGGTCTCTATATAAAAATAATAACTCCAGTTGCTCCAAAAACGAAGAGACTGTTTGATCCTTTTAATTTCTTAAACCATTCTTCTGGAAAGCACAAAAAAATGTTCTAGAGGTTTTATGTGTCTGTCATGGCTTTAAGATAGAGGTCTGCATGCATCCTGTTTCCTCTCACATTTCAAGTACCAGACAAGAAAAGAAAGCAACTAAAAAAAAATTAATGAAAAGCATCTACAATATTTAGATTTTAGCATAGTAGTAAGAGCTTCAAAGGCTAAATGTTAAAAGAATAATATATCTACGACCCAACAGAATCAACAGGAACTATAAGGCAACAACCAATCTATAAGAATTGTTCACATTATGTTTATGATTAGGCAGTCCTGCTCACTGTTCCTTAAGTCCACCTTCAGCTTCCATCTAAAAAAATCTATTCCTAGCCAAAGCATAAGGCAAGAAAGGAATAATAAAAGTAACACAATAGTAAAGAAACTTCAAAGAGCCTATTTGGAATGACATGACCTATACCATCAAAGACCCAACAAACTCACCCCAAAACTGC